CAACTAGTGGTATTATCAAAATATCTAAGAAAGAATCCTGTATCTCAATCGATCCAGTTTGATCCATCCATTTTTGTAAAGCTATATCCAGAAACATTTTTTGAAATTCCAACATTTTATCACTTATACATATGGTAAAACTTAAGTATATCACTTTGTATGCTATTGGAAAAAAGTAAAAAAATAATTGAGCAGGGTTTTTTGTTCTTATTCTGGCAAAGTATTCACTCCTATATTAAAATCTGTCAGTCGCTCTATTTTCACTTGGCTCTACATTTATTTTCAAAAAAGTAATAGCTTTTCATGAATAAATTTTAGATAAAGCTTTATTTATATGCAATGCATGCGAAACAGTTTATCCCAAGAATCTGTTCTTCTAGCTGCCAGTTATATACACACGTAAAAAGTTTGCCGAAAGTAATTTTTACATGATGATAGCAGTTATACAGCTCTAACAGTAAATAAGATAATAGTTTGACGACTGGCTGGCATTTTTTTAGGTGGAGTATTACTCGAAAATATAGAAAGAAACAAAAAAATATCTTATTAAGATTCCATAATCAATAGTTTTGTCTCAGAGTGAGTTGCCTCATCATCTGACTAGAACTTTGAAAAATTAGGGAGGTTATGATTTTAACATTGATTAGAGGCGTTTGCAGCATAATTCAGCAGGTGCGTTTCAACCCACTTTGTACCCGTTAGCTAGATATGCCCACCTCACAGCGGGTGTTGTTCCGATTGGATCTCGAACTGAGGATCAGCTTTTCTGAACGTCAGAGTCTTCACCACTAAACCACTGCATCTCACTAGCCACTCCTTGTGCAAAGAGAATAGTTTTGACGCTAACGGGATGTAGACTGACTAAAAATAAGGTTGTGTTAGGCTTAAATGAAACGCATCAGTTCAAAGAAAGTGATTAAAATGAAACCAATACTATATAATACTTATGGAAGAACTTTCTAACCATCAATTTCCTGTTCCGTTTCATAAACCTCTTTTGAGTTCAAAAGCTTGTAGCACGATACTTCAATCTGAATAAAATGATAACACTCAGTGATAAGTATTTGCACTATGTACTGACAGAACACGGTGATTAACGCAGTTCACTCTGAAGGCCAACAGATGTTCTTTACATGTGATAAAAGATCCCAAGATAGACCACTTACCTTAAGGTGAACTAACTCTGGATTTTTGACCAAAGAATTTACCCAGTCATATGTTCATCTTTCCTAAATAGAGCACTAGACTGGATGGCTGAAGTTATATTTTGGTTACGATGCTGATTCTACTGACTTGTTAACACTGAGTTGTAATTGGCTATGAAGCCCAACTGAATCAATATCAGGAAACTTGACCACTGGTCAACTGACTGCACATATCGATTTTATTATTTTAATAACTTAAATTACGCCAGCTGTACAAAAATGGAATCATTATGAAGTTATTATAGTCTAATCATCAGATAACAGAGACTTAACTGAGGATACTTCAAAGTTCAGTAGGCTGATGACAGATCCTGAGAACTCTTTGCTCAGCTATTTCCTGTCTGCTGAGATAAGAAGTTTGGTTGCATGAATCATTTCAAAAATTCCAACTAATATGTTTGTCGATACCTAGTGTCTGATGCAGATCAGTCGACCAAGTTGATGCGACATTGTAGAACAGTTTGTTTAGTGTTAAATAGAAATAATATCTCAGTAAAAAGGAGGAAATGATATGACAACTGAAAGGATGAGTATACCTGGTTCACTTATTTCACTGGTGGTCTTCGAGCTTAACCGCTATCATCAGATAATAGTGCCGCCTATTCAACCTATCACTTGTAGATGATCATACTTTCTTATAACTGACAATTTTTTTCAGTCCCTGACTGAAATTGCTGGAAGTGACAAAGATGCACCTTACTTCGATAACTAACAACCTGACTTACTTTGTCTTCAAGTTAGTACTGATAGCAGTGACTTACAATACTCTAAATGAATAATAAGATGAATAACAGTTTATATGCCGAAACTTGTATGTAGGAATCCGCCTTTCCTATTAACATATGATAAATATATTTATTCAGTCAGTCAACAACAAGTATTAGATTAAAAAAATATCTGATGTGGCTAAAAGCAAGTATTTCCCTCCAATAATGGATAGATGTTGTCTATGGTGCGAAGTTTGACACATGAATAAAAGTACGGTCCCTGTCTTCTGTTTCAATGAGCTTATCAACATTACATAGACAGAATCTGATGAACAGCAGAACTAACTAAATTATCTCCTTTATGCTTTTTGATTATAAAACATATGATTTTGGAATAATTCATTTGACTTTGTCCACAATGGCACAGAAACAATTACTGGATGGCATTACCAGAATACGTTTTGCCCATAATTAAATCAGCACAAGTACACAATTTTCAGACTAACAGTTTTACAGTCCAACAGCTTCTAGTTATTTTATTTTTTGGTGGTACCAGTAGTGGAATTACCCTGCAGTCTGCAATGGTTGATAAATCATTCTTTTTACGCCAATTATATGTTGATTTGGTGACCTAAGTTTTAGCAGTCAATATTTTTTTCGCCTGGCTTTATCTTATTTCAGAATTTTTACTCAGTTCCATTCTGTAATAAAATCGTGGGTTAGCGCATAGTTAATATCCAGCTTTTTTCCAGATAACTTATCCTAATTAGGTCTATAAATCCATATTTTGCTAAATTTCAAGTCTCGATATCCTGAATGACTCCAGTTACCTAGTTTGAGAAATAAAGGTTATCAGTTTTAACGTGATGAACCTCATAGCTAATAAACAAGTTGGCACGGCACTTGAAACTGTCAGAAATGATCTCATCCTTGGTTACATGCTAGCTGCTAGCCTCAGAGTTTCAGCTGCAGAACTTTCGCTAGTAATATGACAATATTTCACCTTTACTGCCTTCAAATTTCAAAAAAATACTTAGGTGAGAAGATGAAGTAGTTATGGGATATCCATTAACTCCGATCGTTGCAGATATACTTGTGAACAAATGGCATTGAAAACATTTCTACCCATTTCAAGCATTTGGTGAAGATAGATGATAAAATCCGGACATAGCCACAGATTTTTTTAATATACCTTCAGTCGGTAAAGAATAAGATCCAGTTCAGCCATGAATTAGAATGATCACTTAAGCTGGACTGAAAAGTCAAAGAAAAGACGGGGGTTTGGAAACCCAATTCTTAATGAAACCATCACAATGTTATAAGTGCTTGAACTTAGAGTCGCTAGTTTTATTTATTCAAGACACACTAGAATAGACCTGTGGTAACTACTACAATGCACCATGCTGATATGCCTGTTCCCCTAATGTTATTTTCTGCGTTACTTAGTCTCATTAGATTTGTCAACTGATGAGTAAAGTAAGAGCTACAAATGATGTAAATCTCATTTCTTAAACACTGAATAACCTAAAAGGTTCGTTTCGGTGAAAGTATTCTTTTGCTAGTCTTGTGATGTCATTCGTTTACTGAATAAAAAAGATACTTCTAAAACAGCCCGTTCGAGAAAATTTCATTAGATAGATGAAAACCAACCACAAGGATTGTCACTATCTAAAAGAAAAAAACGTTTCTTAATCTCATTTTGGTATGGATATTATTATATCCAGAAAGGCAGTTTGTAAATTTGTGTTTGAGTCATCTAAGTTGGAGTCAATGAACAAGGCCTAGATTAGACATAATGAGATCATGAAATTTCATGAATTAGTCTAAAGAAAATCGGTGTTTGTCTTTCCAACTTAAGGTACAGTGTTAGTAAATTATTACTCTACAAAGTAGAGTCTGTGAGTGCCTTTGGGTTTCGTTATGAAAGCGAGTAAATGGTCCACTGGATCAAATGGAAACAAGCACACGATGAAGTATACAGATAGTTTTATCTAGTCTATTTGTTGGAGTAAATTCAGAAAAAAAGAAAATTTGCATCATTGTACTAAAAAAACTTCAGTTTTTCATGTGCATACTGAAAGTAATACTTCTGTGAATATTTTTCTCATCCTGTCAGAAAATATTGATTCTTCTTATTGCTCGAAATCTGCAAGAAGAAGTTGAATTCCAGCATTCAACAGTAGACAAATATTACATTAATTTTTAAGAATTCGAAAAGTGCATCATAGGAATAACAATTACCCAAAACAGTTCGCAACAAGAAGGGAGAAATATACTTCAATTTAAGAGATTTTAGAGGGGATTTAACATTTCAGTTTTTGTCCGTTCATTAAAAAAAAGAGAAAAACAAGCTATAGTAATGTATCAAACTAAACGAAAATTTATCATAACAAAGTTAATTCATTAATGAATAAGGAAATCCTTATTTACTGAATACCAGATACAAACAAACACCAAAGGCTAAAGGCTATTCACCTTTGAGCTAAATCCTTATTTAGCTTCTTTTTCGGGATGCTAAGCGACCACAGATAATTCACACACTCAAGAAATACAATATAATGATGACAGACCGTCATTTCTCGTAATAAAATAGATATTCCTTGCACAAGTCATTGTGATAAAATTAGAATTTTGAGACCAAAACATATCTTCTCTCCTCCAAGATGATGTTATCAATAAGATTCAGTGAGGATGAACTAGTACATTTACACACAAAAACATCCACATATGAGACAATAAATTTATAAGCTGTTAACAAATTAAAAATATTCTGTATAAGGAATCTTTAATTCAAACAATAATAACTACCCGTAATCTAAAAATTAACTGGATGAGAAGTAATAACTGTAATCAGTATTATTCGAAAACGAGGAAGTCAGAAAAAAAGACTCATTCATGACTGATTGCAAGGATAACAAAGAGAAGAATTTATTTCATTAAAAATATTTTCCATATTTTTATAAAGAATTAAGGGTAGAGTAATATGTGAAGTGAATTTCGACGCTAAATAATATAAGTCATGGGTATAAAGACAAACAAGGGATCATTGAATGGATAGTGTGGAACATATTCGACTGGATCCTTCTTATTAATGATGTGTGTCATTTGATCCATGATAGAGCTGTGCATCTAAGAGCATAAAGTCACCACTGATTCGGATATGTGATAAACGATTAAATAGATTGTGCTGTTCAAAACTGCAACCAACTGATTCATTGGCGTTCAAAAATATCTAGTAAGAGGATGGAGAAACAAAACAGTTTTTGAGAGAGTTAGTCTAATATTTCAAGCATACTCTTAGTTTGTAACTAATGATCTACAATTACACTTGTCTTATCAGAAATTATCCTGCCTACGAGCAGTTTTCTCAAAATCATTTTCAGAAAAAAGTCTTAACGATCAAAACGATCAAGTTGGCTGTCATGTCTTAGGGAATACTTTTACTTTACATACCAACCATACTAAGTCTGCTGTATGCAAAAAGTCTGTCTTCGTTATCTAACTTATCAGCTCATTGATTTTTTCCATCAGTTCAACATTCCTATGAAATATTGCAAGTTTTACTATAAGAGCATAAAAGAATTTGCAGCGAAGTTTGGGGTTGTTCAAAGTTATAAGCTGTCTTAGCCTGTAAGTCAGCCGAAGGACAATGCAGTGTCCTAGATGAATTCGTCAAGTTGAACTTCTCAGATGAAATACAAGCTATTTGCGTTAATCCAAGATAAAGATCATGGAACAGGAAATCCCTATTATGCACGTAGAATACACAGTGCAATGTGGTTTATCCTGTGAAACTTTAGTGTTAAGTTTTTAAATCAAGTCCCTTCATTATCTCAGCCAAGCGTTTGGTAGACCGATATCTACTCCTATGATCCCTCAGGAAGGTAAATATCTCTGCAAACATTCAGAATGGATTACATGGGGTGGAAGTATCCGGAAAAATTAGATAAATATACGTTCAGTTGGCTGGTTGTATAAGTTCACGAAGCTGGGGTAAAAAGCATCTAGAATAAGGAAAAAACTACTATGCCAGTAGTCGGTAAACGAACTGCCTTGAATTTTGGACAAAGTTGACCTGCTGACCAAGTTTATGTTGTCTTATTACCTCTTCCCCCCTTTTAGTGGGTCCAGTGGCGTATGAAGTGGGATTTTCAATGTTGTTGTTTCAGAGTTCAAAAGCATACCCCTTATGTCACTCAGATATTTCCTGTATATGATTGCGAGTTTAAAGTATCGAGAAATCATTTTTACTGGATTGCAAGTTTCAATTAAAATACGAAAGTCTATATGAAATAAGTCGTTTTCTGATATTACTGACGGACAGTGGCTAGCAATGGGATCCAGGACGCACGTTTCGTCCTATTTAAGATCGGTCTGCTGGATGTATCTGCATAATCACTCACTGGGAGATGAATACTTCTAGCTAGTAGCAACAAGAGTGAGTCTGTTTCCTAAATGACTCAAATAAGAGTGTACTTGAATATTTTGAGATTTGGAACTCCCTAAGACGGCTAGTCTACGTGATCATAATGGAGAAATCCCAGTATATATAGCGCAGAAGTCGCTCAATTTTCACGGTACGAAAATGTGATTAAATTCTTAGCAATAATACATATACTATAAAATGAACAGTAGTTGCATAGACAAATTGGGGTGGAATCTTTCAAATGTTTTTTATATGGGAGTGATGATCAGATAAGGACTGTGAAATTGGTCAACTCAGTTTGTTTTACTGGACCTACTGAATCCATGATCTAAATAAAATTTTCAAAATAGAACAAAGGTATCTGAATCATTTTTATTGCACTACTCCGTTTCGGTGAGTTAGAACATATCCAACATTTCTGTATTTCATGTAGCAAGTTATTTCTTACTTACTTTTAAATATCGATGTATAACAATGAAAATAATTGCTGTTAGAGAGTAGACTAACCTTCAGTGAGTTCTTGAACCAGTGAACTTGAGTTTCACGTATCTGTTCAGGAATGAATTCTATCTCACTTTTCGCATGTTCTTTGTACTCCTCGATTTCACAATTATTCTCCTGTATAATTAAACAACTTTTTTCAAAGTTGAGTACAACTTGTAGACAGACTTCCTTAGGGTTTTTGAATGTCTCAAAAATGAGTTCAATCATAACTCTGAAAAAAATAATAATATAAACAAAGAATTTTTCTTCGACTGACCTTCATAGAAAAATTTTGAAAACACCTTGTTATGCGAAACTAAAAACAATGTCGGGTGTTGCTTTGATGATAGATAATATGGTGAGTGTCAACAACAGGCTTGTCTTCAAAAAGAAAACTTTAAGAAATAATCTAATGTGTACATAGTTCTAAGGAAACATAATGCTTGCAAGCCATTACCTCTTGTTAAGGTAAGAAAGGTAACAGTAATGGTCGGGTGAACCATAAGTTTCAAACAAGCCATGATTACAGACTGAAAAAACTGCTGAAAACAATAAAGGAGTGGACAGTAAGTTCATTTATCCTTTCAGCAATAAGTAATACATATCCACAAGCTTCTGAATGATCAAGATCTTTTCTTCATCAGTTTTAAAACTAATATTAGCCTATGAAAACAAGTGATTGATCACAAATTTCCGAAATAAGTAATTATACATCAGTCAACACTCTACGTTATCACGGAATCTGATCAATTTAAAAATACTAAATGTACTTAAATGAATTGCTCCGCAAGTTTATACATGACATAAAATACGTTACTGTATGTAGTCTATGAATATTTTAACGTATCGTCCCCCATTTTTCAGTAAGCAGTCATCTTCGGTTGGGCAAACCATGTCTAACGAATAGACAGATAATCAGCGACGCCATTGGATGAAGGTCGCCCTATATCACAAACTTATAGAATCAGGAAAATGTGAACTGCTGGACTCCAACCTAGTGGCTCAATGGTAGCATGACGAAAATAGAACATGAAGGTCCTTGGTCCGACCACTGTTAGGGTCTTGTGTGAGCACTGCTGAAGGGACCTATGCTGAAGTGAAGCAGCTGTGCATTGCTCCCATGTTTTCAACGGTTCTCCAACTTATACCAGCCTATGATGAATACCAACTTGTTGTAAATAAGATTCGTGCAAACATCCAAGTAGAATTATTTACTTTTTGTCACACTGATCATCTTTTTTTCGGGTTATTTGTACTCAATGAAATATTTTGTTTATATAAACCTAGGGATAACTTGAGTAGTGGATTTTTAATCTGTGTCCTTAATGCAGACAATATTCGGAAAAAACAATTAAGACGGAGCTGTTAGATATTATAATTATAATTATTTCGATTGTCACTTGGAAAATTATGTTATGTATCGGTGAACAATAGTTCCAAAATTAACTTATGAACTGAGACACACTGTAAAACAACCATTTTGCCAATTATTTTTCAACAAATAAGAAGTAGCAAGTCAAGAAATGATTATCTAAAATTTCATTATTGTTTCATTCAACTGTCTAAATATATTGAAGTTAGGTAAACAATTTTGTTATAGGAATGCCTCATCAGTTCATTGGATTAGGCAGCAACATCAGTGCGCTAAAAAGGTATCTCAAAATACAAAAGTTTTCTGTTAATTTAAGAAAAATCTTCAAAACCGACAGTGTTTAAGAACATTTCTTTAAAATCTCTTCTGCGAGGTAATAAATGTAAGCTAATATTCGAATACAACCTCTCCTGGTTAACTAGTTCACTAGTTACTAGCCGGTCCTAAGCCCGGGTATACAGGGAAGGTTGGGCGTAGGGCTAGCAACCCTACCCTGCAAAACAAATCTAACCGCTAAACAAACTTCAAAGCACAAACAAAATATAAAAAATAAAAACAAATTTATTCCTCTCTGGAATCGGAGAGGCGAAATGACGCCATTTGATGAAAGACTTCGAGAAGCCAATTGGCCGATGTGTCTTCTCTCTCTCGATGAAAGCGAAAGTAAACGTGAGGATATGGAATATCCGCACGATGTTTGGACCCATCAAGGCAGCCCAGATTGCAAAGGAGATGAGAAGGTATCACATTGAAGTGCTTGGAATTTGCGAAAGCAGATGGAATGGGAGTGGACTCTCCAAACTGTCAACTGGAGAGGAGTCAATAATCTACTCCGATATTCCCACCCAGACGACAACCATGAGCACACTGAGTTTTGGAGTGGCTATCATGATGTCCCCAACAGCATCGAAGGCTCTCGTGTGGTGGGAACCAATCTCCTCGTGCAGGATCAGGATCAAAACAGTGAGATTCAACTCAAAAGGAAGGAAGATCACAATCATACAATGCTACACTATGCACCTACAAATAATGCAGAGCAAGAGAAGAAGGAGGAATTCTACAGACAACTTCAATCAATACTGGACAAGATCTCAGTTGGCGGTATCAAAATTCTAATTGGCGACATGAATGCCAAACCGGGAGGGGACAACACAAGAAGAGAACTAACCATTGGTCGAGAAGCACTCGGTGAGGTGATGAACGAGAATGGGGAATTGTTTGCAGAATTCTGCACATTCAACGATTTGGTGATTAGAGTCAAGCACTGTGTTCATGCAAAAAGATATTCACAAAGCGACATGGATTTGATTACACCAGATGAACACACTTTAAGTCAGACCAACTTTATCTCAATCTGAAGAAGGAGGAGACTCAGTCTACTGGACACAAGATGAAGGAGAGGAGCAGATGTAGGTTCATACAACTCCCTGTCTAGTGCAAGGAACCTACCTTCAAATTCAACTTGAAAGCTTTCAAGGAAGCTGGTGACAGACCACAGTTCAAGTTCAACAACAAGAACAAGAACTGAAGGACGAAACTACAAATGACATCTTCAAGTCAGCCATGAAGAGAAAATGGGAGATATCGAGGAACATTCCTAAAGAAACCAATGTGGATGAATACTGGAACTCTTTGGAGGAGATGTGGAAAGAAACCTGCACAACCGTAATAGGAAGGAGGAAGAAAGAAGATAAGGAATGCGTCTCGACGGATACATGGAAGGTGATAGAGGAGGGAGAGGAGGATGGTGAATCAGAAGATGAACCAGTGCAATGATGCTCAAAGAGAGGAGGAACTGAGTACAATGTATAAAACACTGCACTGGGGAAAGAAGTGAAGAAGAGTGCACGGAAAGACAGAAGACACTTCTACGAGACGCTGGCAAGTGAAGCAGAACAGGCTGCAGGTGGGAGAGACAGAGACCTGACGACATTGTATCAAATAACAAGGTTACTATGTGGGAGGGAAGAGATCAAAACAGGTGAAACCAATAAAATATGATGACGGAAATTTACTTACCAAAGAAGAGGAACAAAGGAAACAATGTGCTGACCACTTCAAAAGGCTGTTGGATTGACCACGACCGGCATTTCGTCCAGAAATACCACATGCACCCCAGCCACAGAACTACAAGTGAACACAAACCCTTTAGCAAAAGTCGAAGTCCTGAACGCCATAAAGCTACTGAAATGTGGGAAAGCAGCAGGACCAGATGGGATCCCGCCAGAAGCATTGAAACAGACGCAGAGACAACGATGGACATGCTCACAACACTGTTGCAGAAGGTTTGCAGGGAAGGAAGAACTGGTACCTGCCTTTTAGTTGGAAGAAGGGTTACCTTGTCAAACTCACGAAGAAGGGAGACCTCAGTGTTTGCAAGAACTGACGCGGAATCACTCTCCTGTCCACCCAATGCAAGCAAAATATTAAGCCACGTCATCCTGAAGAGGTTAAAGTATGCTCTGGATTCAAAACTACGACCGGAACAGGTTGGCTGGCTGGATTCAGGAAGTACAAATCATGTGCGGACCAAATTTCAACGCTTCGCATCATCATAGAACAGAGAATAGAATGGCAGCCAACTCTCTACCTCAACTTTATCGACTTTGAGAAGGTCTTTGACGGCGTCAACCGAGAAGTAATTTGGCAGTTGCTCCAACACTACGGAATACCACAATCCTTTATCAGCCTCATTCAACAACTATATGAAGATGCCACATGCCAGCCAAGTAATTCACAATGGGAAGCTCAGTGATGCCTTTGAAGTGAAGACAGGAGTGAAAGAAGGTTGCCTACTATCCCCCATGATATTCCTGATTGTGGTGGACTGGATCATGCAGTAAACAGTGGGGAGCTGTGAGAAGAGGGAGATACACCGGCTCTACTGCGGAAAAGAACCTAGAAGACTTGGATTTCGCAGATGACTTGTGCCTGATATCACATAAACTTGAAGATCTGCAGGCGAAAACTAACAAGTTGACAGAAGAGGCGTAGCATCGAAGGGAGACGGGACTTCAAGTGAATATAGAGAAGACAGAGGTGATGAACATACCCAACCAAAAACTCCAACAACAACAAACTCCAATCACCATCAACGGGAGAAACTAAAAGGAAGTGGCCTCCTTCACCTATCTAGGCAGCACTATTTCAACTACAGGTGGCACAGACGAGGATGTCAAAGTCAGTCAGGATCGGAAAGACAGCAAGACAGGCGTTCATTAGCCTGAAACCAGTGTGGAGATCTTCTGCACTCAGCATGTGGAACAAGATACGGATTTTCAACACCAACACCAACGTCAAGTCAGTGCTTCTGTATGGTTCAGAGACTAGGCGCGTCACGAAAGGGATTTCCAACAAACTACAGACATTCATCAACAACTGCTTACTCTGGCTCGCTACTGAAGGTCAGATGGATTGCCAGAAAGAATAAGCAACAAGGAGCTCTAGTAACGAACCAACCAAGAACCTCTCGCTCAACAAATATGCACTGGGAGGAAGTGGAGATGTATTGGTCATGCACTGAGAAGGCTGACTGGGGACATCACGCGTCAGGCCAGTTGCTCGATTGGAATCCCCATGGGAAGCGACGAGTTGGGCGTCCGTAGTGAGGGTGACATGGAGGAGATGGTGTGAGGAGGAAATGAGAGCTTGTGGGCTGTCGTGGAGCGAGGTTGAAAAGATTTCAGAGAACAGAGTGGAATGGAGACGTGCTACTGAAGTCCTATGTTGCATTAGGAACCCAAGGGACTAATAATATAATAATAATATAGTTTCCATCTAAGTTTTACTCGAACGTTAGTCTTAATAAGACAAACTGATAACATCATTATGTGACTTTATTTCGATTGAGGCAGTCACCTTTAAAGTATACTAATATTTTGTTGTAATTTGTTTGTGTAAATATTCTAGATTGCAAGCAGCTGATGAAAACAACCAAAATAATGAAAACGGATTCATATCATTCTTTTCACATGTTTGTTCCGCCTCTTTCAAAGTTGGCAAACGGGGGTGTTTACGAAATTTCATGAATACAGAGTGTGATAAGGCTGAATGGCAAAAACAACTGAGTAACATACTATCTACTAGATGAATACAAAACACGATGTAGACATTGGTAATGCATTCAAAATAATTATTAAATTAGGCAGTTTCATCATAGGTCACTGCAGCCAGAAGTTTAAAACATGAGCTTCGCATGCATTAAAAAATCTTTAGTTAACCCTTGACTGCCTTTTTATTAATGTAAATGACGCCATTTCTTTTCATACTTTTCGTTAACGGTTATTACAAATTATCGAGTTCGACCAGGTTTGACCTCATTTTTTCCTTAAAATCATATTCCCGTTCGATTTTTTTTATTGTGTAACACTACTCCATAAGTATCACTGGAATGAATTTCACCACTGCAAAAAATTCTTCCAAGCATTCCATCTTGTAGCATTCATTTGGAAAAAATTCAAGTTCTCCTTCATTATCATCCGATTGTTCTACTTTCATTTTCCGTGATATTCTTTATAAAAATGATTTTTTTCAGCTTGTTTCATGGATAAAACGAATGCAATGAAATATACTGGGTCTACCATATTTTGAGAGAAATCTTCATTCTTGCTTTATCTAAACTAGTCACTAAACCAAATAAACGGAATCTTTCTAATGTCGACCAGTCTTTGCTGTTCTCGGTCTGTAGTATTGAAAAATACCTTAGCTACTAGTAGATCGGCCATAGGAGTTGATAGGAGTAAATGTGTTCCTCCAAACCTTTGTTTATAAAGAAGCAAAGGATTAAATCTTTCGATAACTGTCATATTTACCATCATGACACCATCAGAGCGTCTAGTAACGACAGCATGCATTAATTACTAGCAGTCTTTGACAAGATGGCTGCTGTTAAAGTTTTTAATCAATGTTTTTGGCACACAAATGCTACCTAGTGGTTCTCACAGAGGATATTATTTTAAACTAAAACATACATTAAAGAAGCTTGTTCACACCGTCAGTGTAAATAACACTTCCTTAACGACATTCCTATCGAACATACCCTAAGCAGGCTTACAAATACCATGAGTTCCCTTCACTACTAGAACCTCGTTAGTTCTAAGTTACACCATGTTTACTGAATTCTGAATTGAAAAAACCTAATTCTTCTCCACATTCACCCTCTCACTGATGAAAGAAACACCTAAGAAAATATAGTTCCAATCTAACCAAACGAAAACCTTTCTTTGGCTTTTGTGTGAGTAATTTATAATCTGTTGTTAACAATATATATCTAGGTAGATGTGCATAAATACTGAGAAATACAAACACAACCACCCACAAACATGCATTATAACATAGGTAACTATGATGTTATTCAGACATCGATGCATGCAAAAGTGTGCTCACAATTTATGATAGAAGTAATCAGTTTTGGCACAATTAATTGAAGGCAAGAAAAACATCACTAATCAATAGACGGAGAGTGGATAGATGCATTGATGAATAGGTTACTGATGGTTGAATTCGGTGATCTTATTGATCAAGAATATTACTTTAAGCCAATTATTTCTTAAATTCACACATTACTAGCGTTAAACAATACGTAAAGAAGTAACTTTCAATGAAAGACTTTGTGAGCATAGTTATGATTGCGTAGTCACATATTTTGTACCATAGTGTGTTCACAAAAGGATGGCATGTGTATGTGTGTGCATGTGCATGCGTGGGTGTTTGGAATACAATTGTGTTTTCATCCCCAGATGATTGCGAAAATAGCTACGGAATTCTATGAAATACAACTGACGCTTAAGTTAAGATTAAGAAGGAGCAAAAAGAATGCCGTTTTGCTCTAAACTATACTCTTTACATTATAAATATTAAGTCAGCATAAACAATTTCGTGTTCTTTGAATTCACAGCGTGACTAGTAAATCATTTGAAAATGTGAATACACTGTGAAGGTGAAAAGTTACAGGGTTGCTGTAACCACAGCATAATATAATACTAACAGTTAATTATGATAATTGTCTCAACGTTTAGTTATAATATGCTAATACTATACTAACAGCAACTCGTCACAAATTCACTTAGCAATCAGGCTAAACTCTTCCTGACTGAATCTAATCAGCAGTCGGGTTTTGCAGCTCAGTTGATATAACACCAAGCAGGAAACTCAACGGTGGCTGCTTCGAACACTCCCACGACTAAAACTTTCATTTCAACCACCACACAATATCAATACAAATCTGCTGAACCATGGCTATCACGTCTTCGTTCTGACTACATTTATAGTTGAATATACGGATGAAGTCTAGGCGTTAGCGATGGGTTGGCAATGGGTGTGACGTCGGAGCCTCAGTGGGAACAACATCACTAACTGGGGTGCAGGCACATCAAGCTGGTGAGCCTCAAATAGGACGAAGCGCACGTCCTGGTTTCTTCTGCCAGCCACAACCAAGTATATTTGCGAAATCAATCCTGAAAAAGTATCTTTAGGCAGTACTTTAAGAGAACTAATCTATTACATTAGTCTGTTTATCCGACATGTCACACAGTGAAACAGTATTATTTACCGTTTCGTACACGATTAAATGTCCATATTCATACCAGGTAACTCCATAGCTTTCAGACATGGTTTATGCAGTTCTTATCTCCTCTCCTTCTTTGTGATTAGGGCAGTAGAGTGTTCCATATATCTGAGACAGGGACCCCAAGGGTTTCGCCTGACTACCACGTGGATTCATCACTCCTTACTACCATTTGATCGTACTCACACTGGCTGCCCAGTCGGTACTTCTGATCCCAATCGAAATCTATCTGAATCAGAGAGTGGTAGCATCATATTTATAACAATTCTGATCATCTGAGATAGCCTTGGTTTTGCAGACTAGTGAGTACGATCAAGACGGTAGTAACGCGTCACGAATTCACATGGTAGTCAAACAAAACCCTCATTGATTGAAGTGAAATAAAAATCTGGTCAGCAGTTGGGCTTCGTAGCTCAGCTGTTAGAGCATCAGGATGGAAACTCAGTGGCCGCTTGTTCGAATGTGGCTATGGTCCAAATTTTTATTTCACTTTCAACCATCACCCAGTATAATTACTAGTCTGCCAAACCACGGGTGTCTCAGATAGTCGAAATGAAAACGTGTAAATAAGCTTTTACGTTTTTGAGCCCACACACAGACAGCGTGGTCAGTACGGCTTTTAACAACAAATCGTGTATTTCCAGAGAATGGGTAGTCAATAGTAGTAAGTATTGACTTTTTGAACACTCACTGGCATTTCTCAAACAGTTAAGAGCCTGTGGTTCGGTAAAGTGGTGTTCCTGATATTGAATGATGATTAAAAGTGCAACGAAACACTGGGTCACTGCATGGCTTATCGGCAAAATTATAACTATTCAGTAAAACTACCTGACTTACTTTCTAGTATCAGCTGTTAGCTTTGTCAAGAGACTGAGTGCAAATGACTGACAAGATCCGTCTGCCGAACGAATAACAAGAGGTAGGATCTGTGTGGAAAATAGAAGCAAAAATACCAATAAAAATCATGTTTTATCTTACAGAAAACTGAGAGAATGAAGTCAAAAATCAACTTTTAGTAAATTCTATTAACGTTTTATGCTATTTTCACAATATTTCTTTATTTAATTTAGCAGATTTACATTGCATACGGTTCAATATGCTAACGAGTAACCTTTATTATAGTTATGTGTGAAGAAGAGGATTGTTTTGAGGAAGAATCTGACTTCAAATAACAGTTTTTATTTCTTTTGTTTTGACATATACCACTGTAACTAAAAAATCATTGCTGACAGCAAACTGTTGCTGACTAAATCAAACCACGCTTTTAGCCTTTCAGGATCATATTCTGAAAGAGCGGAGAAGATTTGTAGCTCAGGGTGCGGATGATTACTGTTCATTGTTCTCTGAGCTTTAAGGTCTCCTTTTGCATGTTTCATCACCAAGTAGGGCGACTTCATCAGCATTTTCCTCTCCTTTGAAATGAAAATTCCACTTGATAATTTGCTTCTTTAAAAAGGTAAATATTGTAAAATATCCACAGCAAAACGCATCAATAAAAACAATTACAATGTATAAAAATTCAGAAAACTTATAAGTCATTATCCCGGGTCCCTACGGTAACCAATCATGCAAACTCATGCTGTCTTTACAACCACTGTGTTACTAATTTTGTCTTACACGCATGCACCCACTGAGGAAATTTCACGAACAGGCCTGTGTATCTTTAACTAGAATGGAACTGATTGTTTCAACCTTTTTCTTCAACCAAGTGTAAAACATTGTGCGAGTGTCTGTGTGTAACCAAAATGCATTTTACTGGAAAACTAAATTTTACTATCATCATCAACATACGACCAGGCATTACAGCGTAACGGTCCGAGTTGCCACACCCCATATCAGTACATCAAACAAAAAAGCAGTGAAGTGCAAGATGAAGATAAGAAAATTCAGTCAAAAGAAATATAAAGTACGAAAAGAGAGAAAGGAAGAATGACAAAATAGTGAGATTCGGTATAGCATCGTTAATATGAGGATAATGTATGTATACATCTGCGCCACTGACATCAGTTCTGAGCCATGTGATCACCTAGAGCCTCCAACCACTGGTTTCTCTTGTCCCGTGGACCCAAACCACCTAATCTACATCGCCGCACATGGCTGAAACCAACAGTCAAAGACTTCATACATTGGTGCCATGTTTTGGTCTGACCGCCTCACGCCTTTTTCCACCCTGGGCCTACTTTAGCCAACATTGTATGCCGAGGCAATCGGCTACTAGGCATGCGTAGTACGTGTCCCAACCATCTCAGTCGATGAAAGTTCATAACCTCGTCAACTGATTTACCTCTACTCCCTAAAACTCTACATCTGACTTCTGCGTTACTCACGTGGTGACACCACGAATACGCCCTATACTATGAAGGCAGTGATGGTCAAACACCTGAAGCCTCCTCATGTCTTTCAACTTCAGTGGCCATGTTTCACAAGCATATAGAAGGATAGACCGGAGTTCTGTGCAGTACATGCGACCCTTAATAGACAATCGGATATCATGGCGGTGCCATAGGTGGAGTAAATTGGCAAAAGCCATTCGAGCCCTTTGTATCCATGAAGAGATTTTATCGGCCACTGAGCCACCAGGGTAGGGCTGATCCTACTTCCCAGGTAAGTGTAGTGGTCGACATACACTGTGTTGTGGATTTGTTCAACCCATGTCCGAAATGATTTTTTCCCGTAGCAAAGATAAAGGAAATGGTAGCTAAGTGAATCAGTATTCTTTTCTCGTAAAACGTGATCTGTACTATGAGTAGCCATGTTAAGAAACAATAGGCTTGGGAGAATAAATAAGCGCTTAATCTGAAAATGACTGATTTGAACAGTGTTAATAGTCTGCTACATTTTGAACTGCTATAGGTACCTGAACGAATATTTATTCTATAGAGACAAAACCAGTTTTGTAAGGATCATGGAAATTGGCTAGTAGTGGAATTGAAGATGTGCATTTTGTCCTGTTCGGTACTCGTCAGCTAGATGTGCCTCCGTCCTAGTGAGTGTTGTTCCCACTAAGACTCGAATCTAGGACCTATAACCTCAAACACCAGAGCGTTACCCACTAGACCAATGAGTCACAACAGCCACACGTTGTGCCACGCGCATAGTTCTGGTGTTATTGCTTGCAGATTTCTGTTGACGAAATCACTTTTGTTTCATAAATACCGCTGGTAGTTAAGAATGATACGTTAGACAACGGTTTCGAAGACTACTATTCTGTTAACTTGAGATAAATGAGTCTCAGCCTGATCTGTTTAAAAGAACAAAAGTATGGTACAACTGAATAGATATCAGTCATATTATGAAAAGCTAGCTACAAGTTCAGTGAAAAATAAAAATGACGCCTTTGGTTTACTTGAGTATTTTTCTCTTGCCTTATAATTATACTTAAAAACGGGGTAAACATTTGTAAATTAGAATAAGAGAGTTTTTTGAGGACATCTAAAAAAGGTTATCTTTGCTTCCCCGATCTTATAAACTATAATACTTTCAAACAATGTTAAGGATTTAACACTTTAGGTGATAAAAATATCTTGTTTAACCGATAACTTCGAGTTAATTTATGCATTTGCATACACGTTCAATAGTGAACACTGAATTACAATGGTTCATTTACTCAATCTACATAAAGTTAAGAGAACCTAATGACTTTTATGTAAATCGGATTGTCATGACCTTGAAAAGGGATTAAATGGCTTCAGAAATAAAGGACATGATAAGCAATCTACTTCCATGATATCGACAAATACAGCTTTATTAGGTACCCTTATTAAGCTTTGTCGAAATATATCTTGAGTTATTTAGGGATACTTGCTTATTAACCATTTCTCTTTCAATCATATAGTGAAAGGGATTTCATCGTAAAAGTACTGTGTAAACGTTTTAGGCTCTTCCAAACAGAAAAATACTGATCAAACGTACTGAATAACATAGAAAAAATCATAAAATCACAAGAAGTTGTTAGTGGAGAATCCTTCCTCTTATAACATGACATATTTCATCCTCTATATATGAATTATCTGCATCATGCTTGAACAAGTTTCCGTATTGCCTGTTTTAGGAAGCCATCACATAAACTTTTAGCGTGATTACGTAAACGGCCCGTAAGCTGCTAACTGCTACGATAAAAGTCTCCGAGTTATAGGATTATAGTGTTTGCGTGTGTTCCACAAGAGGTTTCATACACACAGCTCTGTGATTTATTTAACACTTCATTTCTTCTCATTTCTCCGCTAAGCTGAGTCTTATGCATACGCTGGATAAGTCTTTTCTAGGCGCACCCATACTATCTGTGACGCGGGGTAAGATGACGGCAATAAAACAGTATGCAAGATCAAAAAGATGGTTTTCTACCCGAACTTTTCCTGCTAAAATGGTTTGATCATGTGGCAGCTTTTAATCAGACTGAATTCGTTTCGGATGAGTAACATGCTAGAATACATGATTTTTCTAAAAACTAGTATAATTAATGTTTTTAAAAAAGAATTTGCGGTTGTTTTACAGTCATAAACTTGGAGCTGACCGTTATTAATACTCAAATTATTCTGTGTATTTATTAGAGATGTAATCTATCTGTGACACTGCGTTTAAAATGTCGTCTCGAATCCTCTTGAAGGTTACATGTACCGAAACACAACATGTGGTGTATCTAAACCTCATCTTAACTTAAGTAGTCAATATATCGTAGGATATAAAGTATTCTCGTACCACTTCTATCAAAGGAATGCCTAACTGCAAGTTAGTTTTTTTGTAATTGTTAGCTAAGGTGGATCCAAACTGCTAAGAAAGAAGTTGGGATCTGATGGCATATTTCAGGTCATAAGCAGGGTCTATATATATATATATATATATATATATATATATATAGAGAGAGAGAGAGAGAGAGAGAGAGAGCTGTTTCGTCCTAACATGCGACTCCTCAGCGGTACGCACCCACGACTCTGCCGAGGATCGAATTCAGGACCTTCCGGTTCCCCGCCGAAAGCGTTATCTATTCAGCCACTATGTCAGCTTTCTATGGTCCACTTTTCCCTACTTCTGTCATTTTTCCAGTTCATGTCATTTGTGATTTATAATACCTCAAAAATAAAATCCCCACCAACCTCAAAATACCTTGCTGTTTATTGCTCATTAGTGACGCTTCGAGATACATATCCCAAAGTTCTAATTAAAATCCGTGACCCGTGAGGTTAAGCAGTCAGGAGTGAAGTGGATGCCAACTTAAAGACCTGGGTCGATAGTCTCACTAGGTCGTGAACTGACAGAACTAGGGAAATGTGTAGTGTGGAACTACGACCCTATGACTGAATGGCTAAGGTTTCAGTGGTTCTTCGACTGATGTCAGTTCGTGATGAATACTAGTTTGATTGTTTAAGACAAGTTGGATTGGTGAAATCTGGTATAATGACATAGTAGGTACCAAAATTGGAAGGAAAACTCATCAGCTGTCGCCTTGAAATCCAATCTGGTGTTTTCCATTTTAGTGACTAGTTATCCACAAAATATAATGTCAACTTCTGCCAATGAAGTTTGTTGTTTTATAGTAGCGCAAACGGATATTTATTCAACTTGCAGAAACTATTTTAGCGATAAAATGCTTTATTTTACTATTGAAAATGTAGATTACTTATGGAAATAAAATGGCTTCATGAGTTTTGGGGCAAATTATCTGCTGTGTATGAAATTTATAAGTTCCTATCAGTATCGTTATACTGACGTCTCGTGTTTATTTTTTTAAATCATCTTATCAATTTTTACTGCATTTTCAATGGAAACTATAGAGGTATGATTTTCCATGATAACGGCATTCATACACAATATAACCTGTATTTATTTATACCCAGTAGTGAAATCGAGCGTTTAGTCTGCTGACTGTAAGACTAGTGCTTCTCTTGCACGAAAATACTGAAGTCTCACAAAGTCTGAGTCACGGACTGACTATATTTAAACCTCCAACGCGATAACAGCTTACTGAGGTTTTCAAATATGGCTTGCTGATGGCTAGTAGCTAGAATAATACCTAGACCTCTAGATTCCTTATGACTGGGTTTTAATCTGCAATATCAGAACGGAGGCCACCAGAATGCTGCATCACCTAGTTTAGGAGAACAAATTCATTTCATACTTCATTGATATACTTCAGTCAATGATGAATATACATTGTTTGATACTTACATCAGTTTCCATCTGTTGGCCGATTCTTATACTGTTATATTCTATAATCGCGGTAAGTGTACTGAGGTGATCTTCAGTGGGACTTGGTCTGGCTAAACACTTCCACGCCCTTGATTCTTGGTATGTAGGTTATTCTGTGTAACTTGTAGCATAATTTTCCCAGGTTGAAATGATTTGCAAAATAGCTAACAGTAAGAATGGCTTTGTTTACAACTAATATTTCACCATATCTATATGCTTAAAATTACTTCGCAGCTACTGCGATCAAACCTTTTTGTGTTAGCTGAATGAGTAAATTAGAAATTGTTATGATGTATAACTAACCTAAAGGTGTGATACAGATAAAATAACGTTGGTCGGTTGGAAAAATAGGATTCTCAGTACCTAGAGCCTGATAGACGGACAATAATTTTAAGTCTGTTAAGCAAGTTTATTTTAGCAATAAAACTGTGGTATTGTTGCAGTCATTTGCTGGAATATTGTACACAGGTCAATATCGTATCGTAGGCATGAAGTCAATATATAATCTTTAATGGTTCTCGTAATTACTGATTATCTTATGAACACTTTAAAATATGTTGTTCATAGTCAAAATATCAACCTAGGAAACACTGAAATTGGTACATCCACAGCTGAAGGATTCTTGACTTGTGAAAATTTAGGAATTGAGACACACCATGTACAAATACTCGATATGTAGCTGTTGGTTGTCTTTTACTGCTGACAGGTAAAAACCTTATGAATTTATCAGGACACAACTGTGTTTAGAATTATGACATTATATTTTACCAGGCAGATACTCTAATATAAATAATGGGTAGCGGCTAGCAGTGTAATCCAAGACGTACGTTTCACCCAGTTTGGTACTCGTCAGCTGGATGTACCGGCCTACCAGTGTATGATGTTTTTCCAACTATAACTCGAACCCAAAACCAGTCGCTTAAAACGCCACAGTGTTATTATCTTAAAACTTTATTGTGAGTCAAAACCTTTCAGTTGTATTCCCCACAGGGAACTGAATCAAGCAAGCAATAAACAAATGTTATTCGAAATATATCCAGCATGGATAGTAACAATGCTATCTACACATTCACATACACAGTAAAAATGTACAACAAATTTTCAGAAAGTGTATTTACTCCATTCTGCATAACCGTTTACTAAAAAGTTCGTTGCATTCATCAAGATATTCAGTGGTATTCAAATCAGTAAAGGGTAATAAATGAAATAACATACAAAAACACTCCTTGGCGTGACACAATGAAATATTGTATCAAATGGCCTTATATTACGCTTTGTCACAAATAATTTTTTATATTTGTCTTATAACTTACTAAATTTCTTGGCATGACAAATCTATCCAATTCAGCATTTGTAGAATTCTCAAGAGAAAGTGATTTCAAATGATAATTGGATGACTTTGGCAGAATATTATTCACAAGCAAAGTAAACAGATTGTTCGCAGTAATCTGATGAGTAAAAAATAAAAAGTGGATTATGCATCTACATCACAACAAAAAATATTCAACTTGAAGGACGACTAAGAATGATTTACTACACTTGGTTCAAACTCAAAATTCTAAGAATAGCAGAATACAAACTAGATTCAGCTATATGAAGGGAAAAAACCGCAGTTTTCATAAAACTATCACAATGTTAAGTAACTTATATATGTCATACAATACGTCTATTTTCCTGAAGAAGCCCGCGGTGATCAGATAACAGGATAAATCTCTGATTGCCACGAAAGCAGATGAAAAATGAAGTTTTCAGTATCACAGTTTCTTAAAATAAGCCAATAAAACTATTCTATAGCATTTAGGATAGTGGAAAGTTGACTTTTTCGTCAATAACTTGACTGATAATCATGCTTTACGTTACTTGTTAGGCCGGTAAATCGCTGGACAAGACAATGAGTGGTTGAAAATCAGAGGAGATAAACGAATACAATTGCAAGAATAAAATAACTTCTAAAGATATTATTTCAAATCAGTTTATATTCACAAGTAGTTTTCAAAGTCTCCAAAGTCTTTGAGAGTACTTGATACACCTATGTTAGTATTACCACATGGATGCTGAATAAATAATCTACCTGTTATCTTGTCGAAGCAAAGATTGGCTTACCAACGAAAGTAAGTCCTGATTTCAGCATAAGTAAATCTAAATTTACACTTCAGACAGAAGTGGATTAGTGTATAAAAAGCGATTTATATACTTGATGAGCAGATGGACTTCGGAATCGTCTGCAAAACGGACCCTCTCTAGGCCTCATACCCACTCGCTAATAAATGAGTAGGGAGTATGTGACACACTCAGTTTCACAGGTCACTCGTAGTACTTCAGAGGTTCAAAGGCACTTTATCGGGGTAGTACATTTTGATGTTGACCATGACAGCGTATAGTGTGACGAAACAATTTATATATCAGACCAGCTACTTTTAAGTTTTCATGGCTTAAGTTGGATACAAAATCTCAAGCTAAAATCTTATCTGCCAACACAGCCAGGAGTATGATAGCATCATCTGCTCAAATTAGCCAATATATGTATCAGACGCAACCTAAAGAAGAGCAATCTCCAAAACTTGCAGATGGTTAAGGAGCTTTGGCAGGGGATCCAGGTCCATGGCGAATATTTCACAAATAGAGGGTATATGGTTGTCGGTGATGAACATATCACGTATCCAGGCGGTAACCGAAACCTAACTGGAGGTTGTTGGATATTTTTAGTTGTTTCTAGTTAGCAAAAGCGACAGAAAGAAATAGGTCACGTAACATTCCAGCATTTTTGCTCAACCAAAGTTGTACAACATTGTAGTTCACTGCCCAAAGATAGGATTAGACGTTTTGTAAATATATATTAGCTTCCATATAAAAAGGAAGGTGAAGGTTCATCTCATACCCTTCCTAAAGGTGTCGACAAATCAGTCTCATCACTGTCCACTTCTGTGGAACCAGCTGATTCAAATTACACCAACTCATATTCAGGAGAAAAGCATTCAAAAGTAATTTTTTTCACAATCTGGCCAAATATTAATGGTAAATCGAGGGACACCATCTAGCTGGTTTATAGAGGGTAGATGTTATGGTATGCAGTTAATCTTCGAGATCCGTATAAGAAGGCCTGAAGCCCTAAAACCTTTCAAAACCAAAAGAGTTGCTACTATATTTCGAGAAACGTCGCGTTATCACACGTGTGAATATCAGATAAGTTGAGATAAAACAAATAGATGTCTTTTTTAAAGAACTGTTAGTAGCCAAGGGAATTATATATATATATATATATATATATATATATATATATATATATATATATAAATTTGCATTTTGTACTTATTTTAACGTCTCACCTTCTCTCATTCTACCGCCTTTACCATTTTTCGAGGAGCTGAATGACCATCGGTGGCAGAATCTGAAGGTTATTGTTCAGGTGTGCATATGTAAATATATTACCACATTGCATCAAGTGGCAAAGAGCATAAAACAGGCAACTATTTCAAATAAACAATCAGAAGCTTTCATGCAGCGCTATGAAGACAGAACGGAAGACGGAACTCAAAGATTTCCTAAGAAGTCCAATCACATACTGTTTGCTATTCAGCCAGCATTTACGTCCATAAAGCCTAAGGTTTGCAAAGTAGATTTCCGTAATTACTCAAATCATATGCACGGTGTAGGTGCAGAAGAGCTTCAAAAGCCTAAAGATATGAACCATGTGTTATTAATGGATGTGAACATTGTTAACCTCTTCATTATCTATGAGGTGAAAATAAGTGATAATGGTAATGAATTCTGAGGAGCATATGCCGACAAGTTGCAACATAGTTTCTCACTTTCAGTGAGTTTCAGCCATCCGAAACATCATCTCACTAACTATTCACAAGACCCATGGGGGTTTAGGCGTTATCGTCAACATTCAGACAGATACTTAAAAAAGTCAGGAAACCACAGTGCAGTCCAGAACGTAGAATATAGTGTTTCAAACAAGGAGTGATGTGTAATAAATCCCTATTATTGTTGAATTTACATGTAGGTAGACGTTTATGTGGACTTTATTTACTTCAAAATGGTATTCTTCGGGGACAAGCACCATTTAGAGGACCCTCTGATAATCTGAGACCATCGAGCATCGGATTCGTTCCAGTATGGTCACCCATCGTCGTCGCACTTCGCACAGTTCATAAATGAGAAATATCCATTTCCAAGAGATATTCCACCTAACTCGCAATAAAGTTCAATGATTTTGTAGTCGTTGCATACAAATAATGAGAGATGTTTCAAGTTTCAATTTGTAGGGAAGAAACTTAATGGAAACAACACCTGGTTGAACATATCAAAAGACCCTATAATTCAGCACTTTACAACGTAAATATCTGGAGGTTTGGATTGTTATTTCTTCAAAGTAACAATTTTCTGTAAGGTATATTTCTTGTGAAAATAACTCTGAGAAGCAATTTGATTTTCCAGGAATGCACACTGTTTATTATGGTGTAACCACTTCAACTTTGCCATCCGTATATTGATTTACTGCAGTCAGATAAGAAATACTTCTTAAGAAAATTAGTAATGCATTGAAAAGTTGACAAAAGGATACGAGGGAGAATATACCATAGATAGTTTTTATAAATATTTTTCTTGCCTGTCTGACCTTTTATAATGGCGACTGTTTTCACTCAATACAGTAATTGTTAGTTTTGTTGTTTTATGCTATAATATACTTTTTAACTAATGAGCAAGCATACACATGATGATCTACATAGTTTTACAATAGATAGCAATGTGAGTGATAACTTGGATATCCGCCCATATAAATTTAAACAGTTCAACTTGCCAAAGTATAGATTAGTTCTTCTTTTATGTGCGGAGCAAACGTTACAACAGTAAGCGGAAAGTAAAGACAGAACTTGTGGTTTGTGTGCTGCTTATTTTCTGCTTCCCTCTCTTTCTGTACCATATGTAGAATTGTTATGTCACAGCTGGATATATCTTTCACAAACATGTTCCTACATAAGTGCTTGAGTACTATGCATTGCAAGTGTAAGCTGAAGGCCTCTTACAACTCATTTTCAATGCCATCACTTTTATATATATATATATATATATATATATATATATATATATATATATATATATATATATATATATATACAACACCATCTATTTATGAACCGTTTAAATTCCAAAAACCAGTTTTGTAAAGAATGTTTGGTTCCCCTACAAATTTATAGAGACGTTTTAAATGCAATGTTTGGTGGCAGCAGAACTAAGTCATTTTTGACGATGAGTGATGGTGTATGAGTTCTATATTTTTTTTGGTTTGATTGTTATTCACTTCTAACAGAATTATAAATTCCTAGGTTCAGGCCAAAAATCAGTAAAAAGGAAAAAAGGAAACTCACAGCCAAGTAGAAGCTCTGATATATGAACTTCAAATGGAATCTTGATATCTGTTCCTCACTAGAGGTAGGTGCAGTATTTTCATTTGTTGTATATTGCAAGAAATTAGTTGGACTGACAATTATTTCTGAATTGGAACCCAAACTATTCAATACATCTAAACCGCCATTTGACCATACTCGAATATAAAGTGTTTCAAACTCATCGTGCTCCATACAAGAGGTTGCAAACCCAAGTTTTACTAGGCAGGATTGATGAACAGGTGAATTATATTTGAAGTAGCCATAAACGTCTGCACTGCGACCAAGTGTAAGTGGATATGGTAATTCAATAGTCGAATCACCCCTTATCGACTTTATTAAAAGCAGAGAATAAAAAATATACGAAAATGGAATAAGGGCACATAATTTTAAACTACAGGGTGTTATATCAGCCGTAAAGTGGAAAACGTGAATCTCAGTTAAGTGTCACTAGCTATATTATTTCATTTATTTTAAAAATAGTTTCACTTATGACTTAACTGGTAACATTATTGGTTAGTTGGGTTCAAGAGCACTTCATCTATTTACGTATGACTTATAGTTTGGGAATAATTGCATGCTGATTGGATTATCCCACGTTTTGTGATTGAAATCGGTTGTTTTGTTTTTATAAATTATAGTGCGTTGTGGTCAAGTAATTCAGCTATATACAAAGATGAATCAGATCGCCTGAAATACATACGGATAATAAATGCCAGACTTTGTGATCGAAAGAATCCGATCAACACTTAGGACTAGACAACATGAATTCAGTTGCTCTTCAGTACCCAGTCAATGTACCCAACCCAGTCCTACAGGAGGTCAATTAAAGCGTAAATAGCTCAGTGATAAAGCCTTTACCTGCAGCATTTGGTGATACGGGTTCGAATCTCGAGCGGGACATCAGTCCCCTCAAGGCTGCAGGTCCGCCTTGCTGAAGAGTGAAGAAAGGTTTGAAACCTAGATCCAGAACTTTCTATCGTTTGCCTCCATTCAGCTAATATCTATCAAAAGTGCATCGTGATGCTGAGTCTCCTAGCTTAGTGGCCGTATTGCAAAATGTTCGATGGAATTCGACCAGGATTTAGGACTGGACAACTTGAAGTCGGTTATTCTCTGGTGATTAGTCATTGTATCCATTATCAGTGGTTTGGAGGGCCGAGTTGCCTGACTCATCATTTGGGTGAACTGAATATACGAGACTGAGAAAATACATTCCAGACCAATCACATGCAAGGTCAGTGTTAAGACTGACTTTGCAGAATCATTTGCTGAAGAACTCACGACTAGGTAAAGGTATAACAAAAATAATTTATTAAACTGGTGATACTGTAGACAATATTAGACACTTTTGTACACGAAGGAACAGGAGCACTGGTTTATTTTTGTATGCATCCATTAATTTAGTAATTGAAACGAATTAAAACTTTTCAATTTTAACTATATGAAGCTGTAAAATGTTATAAGAACTTCTCTAAATACTTCTTCTGAATCCACAAACAATGAAAGTAAACCAGCGACCAAATCAGATCAAATTTATTCAAATTTCGATACGTGACAGATAAATAAGCAAATAAATGAATTAGATCGATAGTAAACTACCCTTCTTGTATATAACCAACCAACAAGCCAATCTGCAAAGTAATACTCCAAAGTATAGTGATATCAAATTATCAATCTAGATATATGGATGAATCAAAAAGTAATCTCACAAATGAGTTCTAGCACAAATGTTGTCATAGCAACTCTGAAAATTCGTATTCTATGGTATCTGGCAGATATTATTAATACTAGCAAATGTGTGTTTCAATTGTGAAATTATTGTTCATTCAAAAGTGGAATCGTTTTTTGATATAATTCAAGAGAGACAAAATGGATTAAATTATAAATGCCTCAGTGGCCTAGGAGATAATTCGTTGGCATTTGAAGCGATGGCTGTGAAGTTTGAGTGTCAGTGGGAACAACATCATTCTCTGGGGTGCAAGTACATCCAACTGACGAGTCTCAAATAGGACGAAACGTGCGTCCTGGACTCCTCTGCTAGCCACAACTAAGTGAATTACCAGTATCCAGTATAACAATGGAGAATTACAAGTATATCAACAAATAGAAATTATAAAGCTTAGATTGATGAATACTGTCAAAATTACAGTGAATTAGTGGGAGCCACTTTGCATGCTACCTATACTTGTCACTTTCAAGTTAGCAAATGTGCACAGGAAAAGATAGTTGCTGTGAGAAAGGTGAAAAACGGCCTGCATTACTGAATGCGGTGCATAGATGCTGACATCGCATTATTCACTATAAGGTAGAGAAAGAAAGGTACTATGACATAAAGGAGTAAGGAAATTTCTGTAATCAGCGTCGATCCTTGTAACTGTAGAGTAGTGAATCCTTCAAAAAAAGATGAGAATTAATTGAACATGCACCTATACAGTACAACTATGTAATTATTCTATGGCATACTCGCCTATTAAAGTAGTGACCGCCATCATACTATGATACATCAACCTTCATATAAGTAGGAAATATTCACAAATTGTCATACAACTCTCAAACCGAGTGCTCTTAATTTACACAAATTTTCCTCTAAACTGTCAGACTATTTTTCTAACAGCTGAACCGAACTATCATCATGGCTATGTTTTTGTGAGATAGGTATACAAATTTCAACCTGAAGTCGATGTGTATTCGCTTCGTTTATATGACCAAAAATTATCATCACTTCAGTGTTACCTATAATATTATTCAAATCAGCCTGAAGATTCTTGTCAGGTTCATGTGAGCATCAAATGTATTGCCACCAAGTGCTTGCTTGTGCTGATTAACACCATTTTCAGGTGTATCTAGCCCGAAAAACCACTGTGTCTATGTCATCAACGTCTTCAGAGATGATACAAATGAGTGCCTGATATCATATATTGTTCCTTATGCTTTCAGACTTCTGAAAAGTCATGTAAGCTGTAATAATTTCGGAGGGTGAGTTGTGTCTTATGCTGAAAATTGGTATCAGAAGGTATTTCACAGAGAACTATCCACTCGTGATCAAAATTTGTAATATTTGACCAAAAAGGAATAAGTGTTAACAAAGAGTTGTGCTCAAACTAATTGACATCAGTAACATTCATGTACCAGTAAACCTGTGCTGGATATTTTATAAATTCATGAAATGATTTTATCAAAGATGAAATTTGACGGTCTCTGTGAACAGCTGACCAGAATAAATCATACTTATATTGATACTTAGTCTTTACAAAGTGCAAAAGTCTGTCAAGTTTAATGGTAAAATAAGGGTCAATATAGAGTGCAATTTGATGAACGTCTTCTAATACTACTGTGTTAAAGATCAGTATAACACAAACCATATGGCTTTCTAAGATCAGAGATGGAACGTCTTTGAATTGTAGCACACAGTGTTTACCATGAACTTTGAAAAATACTGAAACGACCAACGGAATCCCCTGACATCTTAATCTGTTCACCAACTCACGTAAAGATAACGCTGATACGATATTATACTTAGACATCACAATCGTATTAACTTTGAATGAACCGAAACTGGCTAGCGCTACATTGTTTGAAACAGAAACCTAATTAATACCAGAGTAGCAAGTACTGTTCTGGAACCCTTTAAAGCAGATTTTCTGTGCTTAAAACTAGACTGCTTATTAGATACGGTACAACCTTTCTTCTAATATAACTTACGAGACTATTCGACGCTGAGTGGAAAAAAAGAACACAACATAGCAGATAAGCGACCGTGAGAGGAAAAAACTATGGTAATAGAGTAAATAGCGGAAATGTTTTTGTAACTTTAAAGTTATTTACAGCTCAGTGACTAGTCCTTCAAAAATATGATGTGAGAACTGGATGGCAATATCCAACTAACTAGTATTCAGAAGAGAAATCTTTGAAATTACTCATGGTGCAACTCATTCACTTCAAAGTAGTACTACGTCCCACTTACTTAGTGCTCAAAGCCAGCACCCAAAATAAGCAGAAACGCTGATCCCAGAACTAAAAACTGAATGATATGTAAACCACTGGATTGATATGCATGAAGTTGGTTCTATTACTATGTAGGTGTTTATTTACACCACTTTCACCTATCGATTAAAAACTAACTTTACTCTTAAAGTCACTCCACTTGGACTCTTAATTACTGAAATAGGAATACCAATAACTGCGATAAAATTAGAATGGCCATGGTGATAAAAAGAAGAGAAAGTAGAACATCTACAGTTCAACAAAAACAGATCTTACTAGTAAGGAGTATAGTTACCTGAATTGATTACTTGTAAACCCATTTGAATTCTACCATTACCCATAGTCCGATGTATGAAGTGATTCTTCCTATGTAATACCGAGATCAGTGGTCAGAAATATAAAAAATACTCAACTACTTTACTTGTTAGTACACAACAGTGAATGCATCATTAGCTCTTTACTGTTCTCGATCACTTATTGTGCACTTCAATGATGCAAAGCATGTATCATAAATGCAAGTGACTTTATCTGATTTAGCAACCAACTATTAACTCGAAGGCATAAAATGACCTCAAATGACTTGTGTTAGTGTGTCTTTTTAAAATTCAATCAGCTGACATTATGAAACATCTGAAACATATGTCAGCGGTACAAGAGTATTCAAGGCAAAGAAGCGATGCATTCATGTCATCATTTTATAAAACTAACCTGATCAATATCTTTTAATATGCATTTATATATCGACACTTGTTGTTCCATAGGGGCCACTGCTTGCACAGACGACTTATACATAGGCTTTATATTACCGTCAACGTATATTGAACCATGAGCTGCAGAAAAGTAGAATTGAAGTATGTAAATGCAATTGTCTTGTTAAGATGAAAATCATGATCATGAAACTAAAAGGAGTGGTTAAGTTCCGCTTCTTAAACAGGACAATAACTAAACCACTTGTATATCGTAAGAAATACTTGCCCTTTTTGTCACGGCGTTTAAGGACACTCATACTAGACGCTTTATGGTAGTTATATATAGTATCTTCAGTCGATGGGCGAAGTAGTAAACGTTTTAGCCCTTATGGTCTTAGTTTAAAGACCATTCCTATTCGAATTCCAGGGTAAATAGCCTCGGGAAGTGATTCTTTTCAGTTTCGGCCTGGAAAACGCAAATATTTTAGACGTTGGGTAAAATAGTCTGGTTGTAAAGTGACGGATGAAGAAAATAAAATAAAATGAAACTCACTAAATTTTCTTTACTTCATATTCGCTGTTTGTATACTAGAATTCTGAATGAACTGTATTGCAGAGCGAAAGAGAGAACAGAACTATCAGTTCAAGTAACATGTAACGCATTTAGACTACGGACATCCATTTTCCCACACGTCATCTGATATTGGTGATGAAGTAACCAAAGACCTAAAGAAAAGACCACTAGTACACCCACTCTGTTTTGTAGATGCCATGACAGTACATGAACTGAAACCAGAACCTTGTATACAAAAATAATCAGTAGGTTTTTTTTAATCTTGAAGTTAGCATATAATACTGATCATGCAGTTTACAAATCTAGCACTTCCTTATTTGATTCGGTTTTACTTTGACACATTTTCATTTTTAAACGATAAGTCAATCCTTCCTGTTTTCAATATTTAATTCCTTTTACAAGTTTTCACTGCGCATTCCTAGTGTCCTATAATCTACATTCAAGTGAAATCTCATCGTGTTCACTCATTTATTTATCTTGTGATTTCATCCCCAGCCTCTTATATGCTCCAATAGATTTGATGACTCTTGAATTATCTTTACTGTTACTAAGGTGAATCACAATTCCTCTCAGTGTAAAACGAAATGTAAGTACAAACAAGTTTGTTATCATTTACGTTAACTTATACATTGATACCATTAGGAGATAATGAAAATGAAATTCAATTCAGGAATGACTGGTTTCAAGATAGTATTCATTACGGACTGCTATCATTTGGAGAACTATTGTAAACCTGAGATCACTCGATGGGTGTCGCATTGTTGTATGGGGATTCACAACAAAGCGTATTCACGATCCAACTAGGGATCGAAACCAGCACTCTCAAGTTTCACGGTTCATTAGACCTTTGGCCTACTGCCTATATGGTAACGTGCTTGAGGAGTTCAATCTCAAGTGGGATCACAGTAACTCATAAGGTCACCCCAACAACTAGCTGAATGGCTAATCACTTTTATTTTATTGAAAACTACCCTTCTAATCGAAATGAAGAAATCTAATCGGTTACTTCAGTGGTTCCCTGGTTGGCCTTTAGAATCATACATAAATTGAAGACATTTGAAAAATCCTAAAGAGCTGTACAACCATAAAATGAAACTTGAAAGCTGTATGATTACTTTGGTGTGATGATGAGTTATGAATTGTACCGGGAAAATTAATTATTAAATAATTCTATATTGCTATTATATCAAGCAAACAATCTAACTTGGATACATTGATGTTTCACTTAAATGCAAAATATGCAACCTGAATAACCTAATAATATCCACTTATACGTGAAGTACAGATTTCAGCAGAAAATTTCTTTATCTCAAATTGAGTTTCAAGGTGTATTCACCTAACCGAAATTATTACAAGCAAACTTCAGCGTTTATTAAAGAAAATGTTTCCTACAGCCACTCTGAGATTGATGCTCAGCAATAGGTATATCTTACCACTAGATTCGAAAGATAGGAATTCTCATGTGTCCAAGTCAATGTATAAGTTTAATTGTTCCTGAGCAGTCAGCTATTGAAGATGAGCTGTGAGAGCCCTAGCACAATGGTTCCCATGTATCTAGTTACTAGTTGATCTAATATCCCATGGTTACGAACTGGCTGTGATGAGTTAATTTTATCATTTTGACTCTCTGAGATAGCCATGGTTTGACAGACTAGTATTTGCGCTGGGTGATGGTTGAATGTGCAATGAAAATTTGAACCGCAGCCGAAAGCCTGGTAGCCGCTGGTTCGAGTCCGGCGCGGTCCAAATTTTCATTTCACATCGAGTCAGTTTAATTTTAATTCAGTTGTAACTGATAATCCTAATACTTCTTAATCCTTTTAAACATTAATTATCCAAAATCTTGTGAAGTAAATCGTTACACAATTTTAATGCTGTAATCAGTTTAATGGGCAGACAAGTGTCAAAGCTCAATGTAATCACTCCACATATGTTTATTTCTGAATGTTAAGTAGTGTATTTGAAGGTAGAACGTGATGGGACTTCAACGGAAATAAATATATCCGCTCAAATTCTTGTCTTTTTAGTGTTACCTTGGGAATATTTCACATGTTGAAGTTTTACGAGTATCTGATAACTGCAGCGCCCTAGTTTTACTTCGGTGTTTCGAATCTATTTTCCACAGAATTCATACTATTTTTAATGATTTAGGACAAATACAGCCCTACTTTCATGCCTTCAATGGCCTGACACTAGGTTTTTGAGGAAAGCACTGAAATGAAGGTAAGTGAAATATAAGAAATAAAATTCCACGTAAAATAAAGTCTCTAACAATTAACCTGCTGATAGTTCATAAAATAGTCAGACTATACTGAAATTTTACATAGAACACATTTATATTCGAAGCAACAACTGAGAAAAGCACTTATAATATCATGCACTATGCTCATTGTTTTTTTTTACTGCTAAGCAGAAACCGATAATAGACTAATTTGTAGTGAAATACAAGTTAGATAAGCAACAATGGCTTTGTTTTACGCCTCTTGAAAGAGTTTTCTAAGCATTGTTAAAGTAAACCAGCTTCGGTAAATACAAGTCGAAATTTTCAATAATGGTGCTTCATAGAATATCCCAGAGGCTGTGAACTATTATGTGATAAGGTCTCGGTTTTCTAAGCGAATATCTGCAAGCTCTCAGTAGGTTAAGGCTACTCAAAGGTTGAGAAAAAAATAATCCTGAAATTAGTATCATCTACTCCTGTTTACGTGCGTTTTGGTTAGCTGGAGTTCTGCTTAAGCAAATCTATTTAAACTACAGTATTTATATAACCTCTGGATAGTCAAATACATAGTAATATAATTGATATGACATCCGGAATGTCTGTTACAATGGTTTCTTTCAAATGACATTAGTTTTAAGATTCAAGTACAGATAAAACTAGAAAAGTCAGACCTTAATGCGATGTCACTGAAAAATGGATTCGTCTGTCCGAACCAGGACTTCATAATTAATTGGTTCACATATAAATATCCTTAAGTGTGTTATGTGATGAGAACCGATCAGTAGGTATTCATAAAACGTGGTTTCCTTCTTTTCGCTACTAATCACTAGGATATACCAGCAGCCGTGAGGAAACGGATATCCCCGTGATTATTTAAATTTTTGTCACACAATGCTGAGGTCAGAGACTTAACCATTAGAGTATTTAGACCATGATGCAGCCCTTAGAAGACTGAGCTATGTACACAGGAATATCACCAGTGAGTAATTCATTAGGCTGCCTAGTGTTTAGCAGTGATCTGAGTCGATTGGTTTTTCAGTGTTGCCATACAAGTTCACATTACCTAAAGGACCGCAGTTTCTCAGTGGTTGTATATACGCCTTGCTTACAAATCCTAGCAAGCACAAAACCAAAGTTAAAGAACTCTCGCCAAATCCGCTTCCATTGTATAATACCAAAATCCAGGGTATGACAGTGTCACATCACTTCACTTAGTTAACATCATGCAAACTTGATCTATAGATTTTAATCCATGCAAAGCACATTAGATTAGACATTCCCATGGACTTCCCACCGGTAAACAACTCGCATATTTAAATGTTGTATCAGATTTTTTATTCCCTCTCTGCTTGACTGTTACTCTATACAAAATTAGTATTCGGTGAAGGAAGTCTATGTAAGTGTGGTGACACTGGGTAAGTCTCCTTAACATTTTGCAATCTGGTTTTTAGCACAACGTAAAAGATGACAGTACCCCACAATAACCGTATCTATTGTGTTGAAGGTAATGCTTTATTCCAGTAACTACTTGACTCTATGGTAGATGCTGACAACGAACGAAATGCCGCATTACTGTCTGCAAAGTAGCAGAATTGTTGTCAAAAACAGACCGAAAGAATTCATCAAGACAAAATGAAGTCCAGTTTGAAAGTCAGTATGATTTAACGCTAGTAAAAACGAAACATAAAATCAATGAAAAAGTGTTCTACTCAGGAAAAAAGCAGATTCAATTAATGTGCTACAGCTGACTGATGGAGTCTGCTGGCAACGTATGTGAGTGTCATATGTTGACCTATGGTGTGAGGTTTCATTGTGGAAGGCCCTTAAACATTGTCAATCCTTTACAGATTCTTATTTCCATTCATTATAATAGGCTAATTTAGCCAGCTTTCTTGTGTTAAGCAAGTTAAATTGGCACATATTACAAGCCTATGTTTACTTTATGATTTAGCTTCCCTTTTTGTATAACTTGATCTAACCAGAATGGGAAAACGTTTACACCAGAGTGTTCAAATACAACAGAAAACTATCATGGACTGAGCATTGGTTTCGCGCTGGTTGAAGCCTTCATTCCCATCTGTTCTTATGTGTATCAATGATTTTGACGCCATCTTATTACTGAGAAATTCATCGATAAATGTGTCTGCTATTTTTTTAATAAGCTGTTGATTTCATTATTAGTCAGTCTCACTAGTAATGTTTCTACATAATGTACTTTTAATGGTTTTTTAATGATGAACAGATAAAGACGTGTAGGTTAAATAGAGGAAACTGAAGGCACGGTTTTTTACTTACGTGAGTTATGACTATTCAACCAAGACGAAACGTCTTCTTTTCTAGCACCAGTACGTTTTCGATATTTGGGTGTCAGTTTTCTATCAGTTGGTTTAAGAGATGAGATGCTGCTACTTGCTGACTCTTGACTATCATTTCTGTTTAGTCCCATTTGACGCCTTGCTTCCCTTTCCAATCTTGTTGATCGTTTTGAACGGTAATTTTTCAACGAACGTTTCCGATCGAAATAATATTGACTTTTACCTACTTCTAGATACCATTCGTTGTCTGTATACACATCACTGCCTCCGCTTTCTGTACCTTCAGCATCTGATAGATACTCACTTAGTGAAATAGCTTTACGAGGAGGCCTGATTTCCTTTTTATAAATCAAATTGTCATTTATCAATTTCGGTTTACCGTTACTGAGTTCACTGTATCTATTGTTTTCACTGGTACCAGATATAGAATAATCAGGATAAGGTAGCTTTTCGGGATATTTGTTTTGTAAATTTGAGCTGCTATCTCAGGAGCACTTCCAGATGGTTTAAATGGCTTGTTACCTGTACCACTGACTGTAGAAACTGGTGTATACGATAAATCTGAGCTCTGAGTAAGTGTGGTTTCCCCCATATTTGGGCTCAGTTTCTTTGAATAGATACTGGACGCTATTTCAGGGGCTGTACCCTTTAGTTTCAAGTTCGCTATGTCGGAGTTGTGTCCACTGACCTGCTGGGGATTTTTTCTTAATCCATCCACTGTTGTAATTGATACAAAGTGAGACTCTGGACCTTCAGTAATTGTTGTATCGCCTAACTTTGGGCTCAGATCTTTCGAATGTATTACAGCTGCTATCTCCGGGGCCGGACCTTTGAGTTTTAGATGAGAATGTATATCACTTCTCGGTGAGTTTTCAAGTAGTTTTCTTTGGCTGCTTAGAGATTTTCTTTGGATTTGATCAGATGTTTCCTTATCACGATGACTGCCAATGTTTTCGTATTCATCACTGTGGTATACTCCTAAGGCTAGAGGTCTGAAATGCACATCTTCTGACCAACTTTTTCTACCTGTTAAGTTAACTGCATCAAACTCAGTTGATGGATTTGATTTATGAAGATAAGCTGCAATTTCAGGTGCCGGCTTTTTAGACAAATCTTTCGACAGTCGATCTTCTGTTGACACATTTATTGAAGGAATTCTAGCATGGCCAGCCAAACTAGGTTCAGATCTATTCAGACTTACTGTTGAAGACGCATTAGGTGTCGACTCTGAAAAAGAAGTAAAGAAATCAAATCGTAAACTAAATCAAAATGTAACTAAGGTAGCGCTCTGCAACATTCAACCTCAGTAACTGACAATTGTTAGCTAATTTTTTACACGTGGTATCTTTAGTTCAAACCAACAAAGCTGAAGCCATTTCGTAGATATTTAGAAGTGTGAGTATTAAATAACCCGTTAAGTAGGTACCAAAACGGTAGTAGTAGTATTACGTTTTTCCAATCATAATTTTCATGAAAAAAGTTACAGTTTAATCGTCAAATCAAGGCATTCATTTCAAAAATCGGTCTTTACTTTTTACGACAACCAAGACTGTACAGCTTGCGTTTACGATAAATCTTAGGACATCCGTCCAATATTTTTGTCCTCACAGTGTTAGGAAAATACTCACTGCTGGCTAAGAAAACAATGAAAATGCTTTGATCACATGCATTCATCGAATTCAAAGGGGATATCTGGTGTTGAAACGGAAGTGTGATTTTGATGGTACGAACTCCTGCAAAAGTACAGTAATCTTCATATGCTGAATCAGTAATATGGATAACTAAATGCATCACTATTATTCGTCATCTCAAATGCCTGGTAACATCTATGAATGAATATTCAAAGTACCAGACACATTACTTATTTGACTCTGCACGTATAATGATTCATTTTTTCTTAGTTTGCCCTTGAAGTTCATTATAATCTCATAGGTCAGCTTTTATGAATTTGTAAAACTATATGTACCAATTTTGCAAAGATTAGAGTTTGTGCCTATTCACTGGATACGATTAAGTTTGAACTACAACGAAAACATAATTATCTGGTATTCATTTCCTGTGAACAAACCCAGAATAATCTTCTCTATTAAAGAATAGATGGATGACACACTTTTAAAAGCTTGCTTTCTAGTTGTGATAACATGTTTGACCCCAAAACTCCTTGTACCAACTATGAAAATAATCCGTCTGTCTGAAAAAATGGCATTTCCTTAACATAAACAAGCCTTATTGGCTATTTCAGCAGTTGTTAGAATGGTCTTTGGGGTCAATATATGTACAACATGTTCAGTATCCTCAATGAGTTCATGAAAACTACACTGGGCCTTAAACGAATTTAGATAACTTTCTACGCTAAACTAAAGTAAGGTAAATTAATGCCTAGATACCTGTAAAGCAACTGAAAGAGTTGTGTATACACATCATTTATGGATTTCTACTAAAAAATATATACGTGACAGTTCAATAACTCTTATAGTTGAGCTTTAGTTTGTCGCACATCTCAGGTAGTGTATAAGCTAGATATGTCAAAATTAATGATAAATATGACAAAATTGAATGATGTCATGTAGCCACGTTATCACATGATTTGTTAAACCGTCACGTAACTTTTCACCACACTCACCCACAAAATTTATACCATTTAGACTGTTTAGTGTTAGCTATCAGTTGGATCCGTGATGCATGCTTCATTTTATATGGAACTCGTTAACTGAATACCTCAGTAACCTAGTATTCAATTCTTTGATGTCTCAGGCATCGAGTCTTGTGTTCTGTTATCAACGAGAAAACCACAGTTACCTAAAATACAGGCATTTCCAGTCGATAAGTCCTAAATACGATACAACACACGTTCTAAATTCCACTACTACCCACCATCAAGGAAATTTTAACTTGATGAATCTTCAGGCATTATCATGGCGTCCTCATAAGGACGCTTCTATTAACAGAGTTCGATTAGCTTGACACTGAACAGTAACGCGAAATTTCAAGTAACTCTAAGTCAAATTTTCACTCTCAGATGTAAGTGCGGTTCAACAAAACTATCTGAACCAATGCAAAGTTAACCAGCAATATTTGTTAAATACAAATCTCTCAGATTCATGTAACAAGCACTGTATGATCAGTTATAACTTTGTATTACTGATCTCTATTTTGTAATGGCTCACAGTGGAGTTTAAAGAGATCCTGATAACTGAATGTATTAATGTTGGCGTTCCATCTGATCAGAGTATACATAGTGTTACTTTACATCACACATACACTTGTTTCAATAAAACGGTACGAGAAGCAAAATTTAAAAACAAACAATAAATATAAAACCACAGAAAAGCCTTAAACTGAACTATATTCATTCTATGGTGATGATCTTGTTTATTCTATAAAGCCTTGCCTTAATAATCCTAACTTAATACGATACTACGAATGTTTGACTAGATATTTCTACGCATTAATTGTTTACGCTTTAAAAGTCATATGCTAAAAAATAATAAAATAACCTTTCGGCTTGGAACGTTTGAAGGGATTTTTTAAATGTAAACCCTTTTTCTTTTTCTCGCCTTCACCAGATTTTGAATTAATATCTGGTACAGATCCTTTGCTTTTCTTGGAATCCTTACGAACATCAGACTCAGAACCTGTTGATTTCCTGCTCTTTCCCAATAATGAGAATCGTTTTTTCTTATTCTTTTCTTGTAAATTAGGTGTTGATGTTGTAGCAGTAATCCTGGGAATTACAGGCTCCTCATCATCCAGCACATAATAGCTTCCTCGATGTAAATCACCAGCATCTGTTTGACTTCTCCCTTCACCATTATGAAGTTGGTCAATTTTGCTACTACTTAAAGTAGCAGATTTTCTAGAACCCGGGATAGGGGTTTTAGCTTTTATATGAGGTGTATCATTTGAATTTAGAGTCACTCGACTGCCCATTCCATAATCTGTTATTCTGTCAACAGGTGGTTTGCCTACAGAGGGCAATGTTGCAGATATTCTTGAGTCTGAGTTTTGACTAAATTCGTTACTATTACGATATGAATACATTCCAGAATTTCGATCTAATGTAGATGCTTTGTAATCAACATCTAAATCTGCTCTAGATAAATCGTTTGATGTCTTCCAAGCAGTAACTTCTAGATTACTATCTTTACTTTTTATCGATTGTTTGTCCAGTTTAGAGCCTGTTCTTGTTGGCACCAACAATGGAGGATCATTTCTGCGTATTGAACTTTGTCGTAATTCGTTAACACGTACAAATCCTGATTGCATATCATCAACTCTAAGGCTGCTGTTGTTAGCAACAGTGTTAACAGTATTGTTCATTTCGTCTTCATCAAAATATATATCTTTGAACTCCAGAGACAATATATCCACTTTTCCCTGCATTGATAGTGCGAATGCCTTACTCAAAGGCAAAAGATGTTTTTGTTCACAAACAACCTCTTTATTCAATTTCACCTGAAACAGAAAGAAGAAATGGAGTGGGAATAAAACAAGTCAGAGACAGCACTCACGGCAACGCTTGACGATGTTTATCATGGGAAAATGTTCAAACTTATGTGTTGGGGTATTCAAATAAATGATTGACAAAGGTTATTTGATTATTTTAACGTGCGGATAGGGCACATAAGCTTCAATTTTTTCAAGTTGAATACAGCATTCTACAATTTTGATTTTGTCTTTTCTTTTTAGAGTAGCTACGAGGTTTTAATACCCTAAGAAAAGGTGACTGTGACTAGTTCTTCAGCACATGATCCCAAACCTAGTTGTTTATTAAGTTTTATTTTAATTTCTATAGCCATTTTCACTTCTGTTGTTTATTGTTCAATATTCAGTCTTGAATGAAAATAAATAACTGTTGCTATCTAAATCGTTTCTCTTATAATATGCACCCAATAAGCAAGTGTCATTTTACCATCTCACATGGGTCGGACTGAGGTTACTAGAGTACCATACGAGTGGTAACTATTGTCTGTTTTCAGGTGAAACCCAAGTCTAACAGTTTGTTCGATTTCAGCACAATTATTGTTATGGATGTTGTATATTCCAAGAAATGGGTACCTTTTTTTCGCTGCGTATATCTGTCCTTCTATAATAATTACTTATCTGTCCATTCAGCTTGATTTTTTCTCAAGGTGAATCTTTTGAAAAGTCCGTTACTGCTTTTTGACTCCATGCGGTCATTAGTGCGAACTGTTGAAAAGTTTCACACTAGAAATACAGCTGTGTAGTGATTTCAAATTCCATATCAATCCATGACTAATGTTACCTTCAGATCAGTCAGTCTTTACGAATCTCCAAATCGAATAAATGAAGGTTATTAAATGAATATAAAATGGCATCTAGATTGGTGCCTTTGTTATGGATAGTAGACGTCTTGTCTACGCATTTTCAATGGGAGTCCAAAAAGGTGTATTGTGTTGAGAAGTCTCATAGCTTGTCGAGTACTTTGCTAACGCAGAGGATAGGCTTTCGACAGCTTGCGACAGTGCCAATCTAGCTGCTTGAAAACTCCTTTTAAATAGAGTTTTTTGAATGTAACTGTATGATTCCCCATCCTCAAATATATATTGTCACCAAGAAGGACGGTAGTGTAAATCACAGTAAAAGACATACTTCCTGTAGAATGATTGAAAGCAGCAGGTTGAATTCTTGTTACTGATAAATTTGCTCTCACAGTACTCCATTTGTAACGCTTCTAAACAATGCACCAAGTTTTGAGGTTTGTAGGGATTAATTTACATCAGGTTGGTATTTATCATGTATTGACATCATTTGGAGAAACAATGGAAACCTGGGAGTACTGAGTAGCTGTTTCGTCTTAGTGCTCATTGGTGACTAGATTCGAGAAGTGATTCCTGAAGTTTCAATGAGAAGCCTTGATCGGTGCCGTCAATCAAGTCAAACATGAAGACAGTTACTCAAAGATGGCATTGGACAGAGGTCCCCCTATATCGTGAACTGACAGGAATAGGAAATATAAACCACTGGATTCTGACCCAGTGGCTTAATGGTAACTTTCTGGGCACAGTTCTTGGTTCGGTCCTTGGGTGAGTGGAGTCATGGGTGCACACTGCTGAGGAGTCCCATACTAGGACGACGCAGCTTTTCAGTGCTCCCAGATTTCCAGTATTTCTCCAAATGGCCTCAGTTCATGATGAACACCAACCTGAAATACACCGTTTTAAAATACAGGTGTCAGAAACCATGCATTTTTGAATGACTCACATGTGTCTTGTGAATATAGGCTGACCTAAAAAGAACTCAAATTAGTTACTTCCAGCCAATTTCATACGCCATATCTATTTATTTGGCCTGCACTCACATAGCTTAACTGAGAGAAATACTTTTGGAAGAGAGTACCTAAAGATAGTAGCAACACCAAGAGAAGTTAACTTAAATGGAATGAACTATAGAACTGCTGATATTGGTAGAGGTTAAAACTGTCATGTTGTATTTTCATTAGAAATAATTAAGACTGTGACTTACAGTGTAACTATCTTCAGAAGCATGTACACATAACTCGAAACGCATATTGTCTTGAATCCCATTCTTCACAAATCGTTCTTGTTTTGCCATTTCTTTTTTATTACGACTGATAACAGTTACTGGGCCATTGCTGGTTAAGGTGATTTGTAGTGGTAGTTCATCAGTGAAATTCTGTGTAGAGCCCTCTTTAGTTAGCAGTTCAAAAATTATCCTGTAAGAATTTCAAGAAATAAGTATATTAAGTAAACAGAGGGTTAGGATGTAGCTCTAAGAAATAAATCAGAATCATCATGGGATATTTTGATCAAAATTCTTAAACACTGTATTGAAGCTCTTGCTGAAAGCATGTCAGTTTAAAAGCAGTTCTCATGGATAGTATTTGACTGAAAAAGTCTCTGCAAACAACTCAGCCTAAATCTGTTTACTACTCCTTGGAATTTTGTAAGTTAACAACAAATCTGTTTGAACTGCCCCACAGTGTAACTTAAGACACTGAATTTATGCAGTAAAAACGTATTCACTGGTGTGCTGGGTTGGCATTCATCAATCCTCATCTTTCAAATTCACTAAAGCTAATTGTATCACTGAGACTAGAAAAGTATCAATAAACCACTTAACTTTCTAAAATTATTTATTACCACATGTTTCATTAGTAGTTAATTTAGTGCCAGTGCTTACCTAAGCAGCTTCTTTATTCAACTCTGATCATACATACAGCCAGTCAATACAGAATACCTTATGTATAAATAAGCGATTCAAAGTCATTTTCGAGAGTGATTCCTTCATAATGACTTCTGTATGACAAATGAAAGCTATTCTAAGACATTCTATCAAAAAATAATTTGCAAGATGCTCTGTGTTCTATTTAGACGAATTAATCACAAAACAAAACAAAGCAAACCACTGCTTGATAGTGAACAGTTAAATGACATCATCTGTCGCTAAAACACGCGTTCATTCTAGTTCAACCACCGGAAGAAACTGATTGCCTTAGCTACAGTCCCTGTAACAACTGTAAATAAGTGACTGATACACCAAATCAGGGTGTGAAATGATAAACTTATTTGCTAAATTGTTATTTTTCATTTTGTTTACCTATTCACCTTACCTCATGTTCTCTGCACTGGCCGTAGTGATAATCAGACGTTTGTTTCACTAGATGGATTTAGTATGTGTATCACCCAGATGTATCAGGACTCTTGTTTATGCCTCGTAGTCTTTTCCTACTACTTGTCTGTCATGAATTATCAGTTACATAAACAAAATCTCAACTGCACAACAAGAGATGGAGTCACCATAAGGCATATAAGCCTATTTCAGATCTACTTGTTAGTCTGGATGGAAACTTGGTGAATACATAATGCTTTCACTTTTCATCTTGCTCGACTGGTTAGTTTCCAAAGATGGTTAGGGATTTGGTGTTTGAGACCATAAGCAAGACTAGTCATTAAAGCGAATTAGCTGACTTTAATCCCACAGGTGTCAAACTATACACAAGTAATGTTAGGTAAGTTATGCCAGATTGCTGTGGTATGCTACTGCTTCCCTTAATGGTATACTAGGAATCGATTAGTACAATCAGTTTCGTAAATAACTAAATGATTAGCAAATCCAAAATATGATGTTTGTAAAAGTGCTGTGTAAAACCTTTCATTTCCTCGTACTCAAAAGGAACCTAAACTATACGTAGGTATTCAAACTCAACGTATCTTGACTTTCAATAGTTTCGTCATGCACAGAATCCATCACTTAACTAACGAATCCTGTTCCTCCAAAACTCACTACTAAGATTCACAGTCACGAATAAATAAAACGTCAAAATGAGTCCCTGAAAATACTCTCACTGTTGATGAAAATATACCTCAAACTTTCTGAAAAGCCAATATTCAAAGACAGTTCCAAACGAAAAGAATATATCGAGGGAGAGGAAAGTGAATTCCACTGAATAAGAATAAAGTACAGCTTTTTTTAGTTCGTAGGTAGTTTCAAGTCAGTAAGCAGCTATTGTCACGCTTTTCATAACACTACCCTTTTTCAGTTTGACTAACTGAGATAGTCATGATTTGGTAGACCTATATTGGTAGTAGGTGATGATTGAAAATAGAATGAAAATCTGGAGCGTGTCAGAACTCAAGTCAGTAACCACTGGATTATCGGCCCAGTACCAGCTGAGTTACAAGATCAGACTTCTGACCAGATCCTAATTTCATCTCAGTCATTAAGAATTTTACCTGACCTTCATGTTAACTTGTAATGCATTACTATAGCTTGATCATATTCACATTGTTTGCTCTATCGACTTCTCATCTAAATCCAAATCTACTTGAATTAAGAAGGGAGACCAAAATATTGATTATCAGTTTGAGTATCTGAAACAGCCATGGTCTGGCAGACTTATACTTTCATTTTCGTCAAAATTTAAAGTGCATATCCTACATGATTGTTTTTGTCAGCCCCATACAATAGTAGGTGAGAGTCAAAGTCACCTGGCTATAACATCAACTAATTACTAAAAGAGTTCTTTTGAGCAAATTACTGATGAAATGCAAGATTAATTTTAACTAGTCCCAAGGTCCATACTGAGAAGACAAAGAACGTTTTGTTAAATTCTACTTTGAACAGAGAAAAATTGCAACGTGCAGGACAAAATGAACAGAAATGACAGTTGGAACTACAGCCGAATCGGAAACTGTATGCTGACAACTTTGTCTTGACAATTTAGTGGAATTTACAATGATCGGATATTTTTATCTCTTTAATTGGTATTGTCCACCAACATATTAGACATGTGATCCATGTTTCTACTCAGTACATTTGTAATTAGCCTATTTATCTCTGAACATTTCTTTTTGCATTGAATTCACCGAAGTTACCAATATAACCCTTCATAACCTCTCTATTATGACACGCTTTCTTCCTAACAGCATACATTAGTAACAATTTATAATATAATGCTTCAATCATTTATGCGGGTTAACACTGTTAGACGAAAAAAGATATTTAATGCATGAAATTATAACAACTTCAATATATGAAATGATGTTTTCGCTTCTTGAAATCAAGTTGTCAACGTATAGAGCCCGTATGAGAAAAACTTTACTCCACTAAAATGCAACAATCATGTCGTTAGTTTACCAATGTCAAAGTAGGTAACCCTGTACTTCTCAATGAAGAGATTTTTGATACATGCTCAGAGATTCTTTCAGTAAGGACTACGTTATCTGTATGCCTTCTTTATAAATTTTCGTATAAACGGCTGTCAAAGGTCATGAGATTGAATGGAGGTCAAGATGATGGCATGAAACTGGCAAGAAACTGAGATGATAACCAAACTTGATGTAACGAGAAGTGTGCGTAGACTCCTATAACCTCATTTTTGTAGTGTCTCATGGTCTTTCATAAGCGAAATTATTGTCTACACAACGTAAAATTTAGATAGAAACAAAAATGATCTTTTACATCTATAGGAGAGAAGGATGCGATTCACGATTTAAAGAATTCCCGAATTCTCTCCGACATATCATACTGGTTTATGAACAAAATAGCTTCAGAGTTATTGATTTCTAAAAAAATTACCAGATAAGCTATTCAGCATTCATTTGTTTTCAGCTTTTATCCATGAGGCAAATTGTCAGGCTTGGGATTGTAGGTTGTTTTCAGACAGACATTTGTGTTCATGCTGCTTGCTAGCAGAACTTTACATTGTTTGTTATTTCATAAGTCCTTCGATGATAATGATAGTTGATAATAGTTATTTCTGCCTCAAAATCATTTCATACAGCTATGTTTCATAAAAATGTTTTTAATATACTTAAGAAAGGAAAAACTCAACAAATGAAAATGACCGCATGCATGAACTTACCGTTCTCCATGACAGATTCCCTGAAGCTCTATATAGTCTCCTTCCATTAAACAATCGGGTATTTCATACGTGAATTCAGTGTCCTGAAAGGAATTTAGAACATTCTATTAAGTATCATTTGAAATGATGTTTTGTTTTGTAAAAAACTACAGTAACGAACTGTATCTTTTTCTGATAATTTATTGATATAATTTATTCAAGTGAATATGTTGGTCACAAAAGTTCACATTGTCATCAAGACAGAATTCTTTCCTATCAATTTAACCCTTTAGACTAGTGTATTATGTATTTTTATTAACGTCTGGTATGTGCACAATGACGTCAAACAGTACGAAATGACGTATTGGAATTATTTTCACAAGCAATATTCACTTTTTCACTCTAAAACTCACTCGTACCACGAACAATAATACATTTGAGTAGGTAAACACACCTACGTAGGATGTGGATTGACGACTGATGGAAAGACTGGAACCTAAGTCATAGGAAGGACTTGAAAAAGCAGTCTCTGAAGTACCTACACGGTGCTGTACTGACTGAATCCCAAGACCTGGTCACCAAAAATCAAACATATACGTCTAAGTAAGTTAATTGTTGGTAAAATCTCTACAGAAATAAAATGAGTGGCGAAAACGAAATGACCACATTCTTGGAAAAGGTCTTAATTGCAAGTAATCATTAGTCTCATCATATTAAACTATAAGATTCCAAAGCAGGGCCAGTTGAAATGGATAACGTGAAATTATGGTTGGTTGGTAGGTGTTGACTTTGTAGAAAATTTCTTCTTCGCAAGAATACACTACATTAGCAATTTCAAAGTTGAAATTACAGATTAAAATTAGGGAGATATATCGTTTAAAGATTCTGTGGACCCTCTTTAGACGGGATAGTCACTGATGTTGTCAACTATGGTGTAGTATATTATGGCAAAGGAGATGACTGAATTTTCAGTTTGATATAAGGAATCGTTGCACAAAGAAGCCTACTGTTTCCCTTTGTCAGTTGGAGAATTGTTGGCTTCTAGATTTAAGGATTTCATGAACCGACACTAAAACTTTCGAACAATGATTTCAATGTACTCATAATCACTCATGAACAACCATCAATCTAGATTAGTAAGCAGGTAGGTATTAAACATTATTGGTTGTAGTGTTTCTTCAGCAATGAATATTAACTCAAGCCAACAATTTATTTTCTCTGAATCTTATTGATATATCATTCGAGAACTGCATCAGTAGATGCATATTTGTTTATAAAATGTCAAAATTTTAATTGCTAAATTCATTTCAATAAACGACAATGCACTGACCATGGTAGCCCGTTTGGATTATCACCATGAGAAAAGTTTCAAAGAACCAGCCTTTGCTTATTATGTCTAACTATTTTCCTCAACTTACCATATTAATTAGACAAAATAATCATGCTTGTCTGTTTCATCAACACTTCTTTCCCAAACATCTTTATCTCTTTTTATTGCTTTTCTGAAGTTAGCCACCCTTCAGCTTTACAGTTTTTTTAGTTTTTACCTGAATGTTCTATGATTCTATGCAACAGATAGAAAGCTTCATCTGACCTGAGTATTCAGATTTGTTGAAAATCACCACCGAGATTTATCTGCGACCTTATGAGTACTGACGTCGTTCTTCTTTTGTGATCTGAACCACAGGTACAGTAAAAAATATCAACACTGAGCTACTAATAACTGGTGATAATTACCATTGATAAGGTTTTCTTCATATTTCATACTATTACATTTTTCTTCATTGGTCACCTATAATGTTTCTCTAGGTCTATTTCTCATGAAATCTAATAAATAAATATATATTTGCTAACCATTCTGACGGTTAATTATGGTTAATACTTTGAATCACATTAAACTCCTTCTTCTTACTGATGAAGTGCTAAAGCTGTAACGAGAAACTTATTTCCTACTTATAAATTTCTTAAGCCGTGAAAAAAATCAAGGACTTTCAAGGTTGGTTAAGAATATCCCACAGGAATGTGTTGAATAATGTTTTGTCTACTCACATTTAAGCACAAACTCAGGCAGTCATTAAATTCAGATAGAATGAATGAACAATCCTCTCCTGTACAGTTGTCAGTTTTAGTTATTTCTGCATGATTATTAAATGATGTTTCTGTTTCATACAAAGAAACTAATTCTTGTATCTCAGGCTGAAGAATATCCATATGTATGAAGTATTTGGTTTTTGTTTAGTGGAACAGTCCTGAATTTATTGTATATATTATCGATAACTAAACTGTACAGGACAACCGCAAAATTGATAATATTTGTGTAAATCGAATTCATGCATAGAACAGTATATATTTAACTGATCTTTGTTTTGCTTATAAAAGCGTCCACCAATCATCACAAAATACATTGATGAGTGCATGCAACAGTCAAATGATTTATATGAACTCTCATAGATACTTGATAGAATTGTTTCAAATACACTTCTTGATATATAAATAAAAGTGTCATAAATTTCAGTCCTTATTTATCACTCAACATATGAAGAGTTATATACCATTAAAGCCGAAAACTAATTTGATTACTTCAGCAAATGATATTTCTTTTTTGATAGTCTATTTCTATTTCATTCACCCTTTTACAGAAAATGATTAAAATAGCATTCGATACTTGGGGGTTACTAGAATATCGTAAATCTCTATATTCCTTGTAACATTTACTTATTGATTACACGAAGCTTATTTATTACGAAACAGCTTTCTGCGAAGTAATAAGCTTTACATAGTACAACATTCCAGTGTACAATTATATGAGATGCTATTTCAGGCGACTTAAGTATACTTCTCAAACTATGTGGGGAGCCTCTTTGTTCACCTTAGTTGTTGTCAATGAAGGATGTGTCGATGATTTTCAGTCTTTTATGATATTACACACCCAGTAACCTGTTAGAATATTCCTCTTCAGGCAACCGCTAAATCATCACCGGTACACAAAACAAACTCGCACAGTTAGACAGTCGAGAACAGTTGACTTAGGTTTCATGAACTTATCGTGAACATAGGTTTCCTACTGGTTTGCACTCTCATAGTTGTATACCTAACATAAACCGAAGGTGGGGATGAATACATACATCAAAATGAAAGGAAAATATTCAGCTCTAGCCTGAGCAAATTAAATTTTCAAAAATATTTTTCAGACTTTTTTCATTTAATCTAAATATCCTTCACTAATAAGTTAACGTGATCTAACTTCAATATCCTAAGGTCAGTAAGTTGTAACACATGTTATGAGCAACAACCTAAATAACTCGAAATGAACGAAAATTTTGAAATCAGTCGCATAAATCATGAGAAATTTCTATCACACATACTTAACTCATATATTGCCATAAATATAACTTGAAACGTTTGAGGTTAGTAGGAATGTCAGATAAGCAAGAGAGAAAAAAATAACCCAGGTTTCGTCTTATTATTATTATTTTTTATTATTAATCCCTTGGGTTCCTAACGGAACATAGGGCTTCACTAGCACGTCTCCATTCCACTCTGTTCTCTGAAATCTTTTCAACCTCGCTCCACGACAGCCCACAAGCTCTCATTTCCTCCTCGCACCGTCTCCTCCATGTCACCCTCACTACGGACGCCCAACTCGTCGCCTCCCATGGGGATTCCACTCGAGCAACTGGCCTGACGCGTGATGTCCCCAGTCAGCCTTCTCAGTGCATGCCCAATCCATCTCCACTTCCCTCCAGTGCATATTTGTTGAGCAAGAGGTTCTTGGTTGGTTCGTTCCCAAAGTTCCTTGTTGCTTATTCTTTCTGGCAATCCATCTGATCTTCAGTAGCGAGCCAGAGTAAGCAGTTGTTGATGAATGTCTGTAGTTTATTGGAAATCCCTTTCGTGACGCGCCAAGTCTCTGAACCATACAGAAGCACTGACTTGACGTTGGTGTTGGTGTTGAAAATCCGTATCTTGTTCCACATGCTGAGTGCAGAAGATCTCCACACTGGTTTCAGGCTAATGAACGCCTGTCTTGCTGTCTTTCCGATCCTGACTTCGACATCCTCGTCTGCGCCTGTGCCGCCTGTAGTTGAAACAGTGCTGCCCAGATAAGTGAAGGAGGCCACTTCCTTTAAGTTTCTCCCGTTCATGGTGACTGGAGTTTGTTGTTGTTGTTGGAGCTGTTGGTTGGGTATCTTCATCACCTCTGTCTTCTCTATATTCACTTGAAGTCCCGTCTCCCTTCGATGCTACACCTCTTCTGTCAACTTGTTAGTTTTCACCTGCAGATCTTCGAGTTTATGTGACATCAGGCACAAGTCATCGGCGAAATCCAAGTCTTCTAGGTTCCTTTCTCCTGTCCAGCCAGCGTATCCCCCTCTTCTCACAGCTCCCCACTGTTTGCTACATGATCCAGTCCACCACAATCAGGAATATCATGGGGGATAGTAGGCAACCATGTTTCACTCCTGTCTTCACTTCACTTCAAAAGCATCACTGAGCTTCCCATTGTGAATTACTTGGCTGGCATGTGGCATCTTCATATAGTTGTTGAATGAGGCTGATAAAGGTTTGTGGTATTCCGTAGTGTTGGAGCAACTGCCAAATTACTTCTCTGTCGACGCTGTCAAAGGCCTTCTCAAAGTCGATGAAGTTGAGGTAAGGTAGGGAGTTGACTGCCATTCTATACTCTGTTCTATGATGATGCGAAGCGTTGAAATTTGGTCCGCACATGATTTGTACTTCCTGAATCCAGCCAGCCAACCTGTTCCGGTCGTAGTTTCGAATCCAGAGCATACTTTAACCTCTCCAGGATGATGTGGCTTAATATTTTGCTTGCATTGGGTGGACAGGAGAGTGATTCCTCGCCAGTTCTTGCAAACACTGAGGTCTCCCTTCTTCGTGAGTTTGACAAGGTAACCCTTCTGCCACTCAATCAGCAGGTACCTTCTCTTCCTTCCACACCTCCTGCAATAGTGGTGTGAGCATTTCCGCTATTGTCTCGTCTTATTTATGTGTAAATGACGTGGACAGTTATTCTGGACTCATTTTGTTGATGTCATGCCCGTTTTATTATACTTTTAGCATGAGTTTTCAGTGACGCTGCATTCAACACTAGTTTCATCACCGCTTTCTGTACAACTTCACAAGAAAGTTAAGGTGACATTTTCAAGAAGCATTCACTGGAATTATCCTGACTGTGGTCATTATTATCCCGATTACAGTTATTACAAATGCTATGGAAGAACTTGAGAGCTATATTTGACTAAATTATAACAAAAATGTTTGTGAACATGTTCCGATCATATCAGTATATATTTTATGATGCTCTTGACCATGGTGTACAGTAAAAGCATCACTAACTGACTAACCTATTCGTGGTAAGTAAACCCATAGTAGGTCGACTTATTTGACTTTTGGCTGCTGCATTTATTCTTGCTTGCCTTTTCATACATGAGAAACTGAGACATAGTGTAGTTTGGTAGACCATGGTAGTTCATTTTGAGGTGAGATTTAGTTCTCCTGTTAACGGATGCTGGCACTGGTTTCATCACGTTGATTGTCATTCACGGATGTTAGTTTGGATCAATCATTATTACATCATTTGAATATAATATTCTTATATTTTCGACTTTCAGACTTCCTTTTTGCTGGCCTTAATGAAGAGATGCTTATTGGATTCGCCTGGATCTTCTGTTTACATAAAGGTATTTTTTCCCTTTGTTTTTTAGTTTATGCAAGATTGAGCATTGCTGCTTATGTTGATCATCTTCAGATGCTGATTGGTTCGTTTTGTGAGGTTAATAAATTTGAAAGCATGTTCCTTAAGTTTATACATAAAAGTATTATTAAATCCTGTACAAGACAGTTAAATCATTGTTTGCTAAAGCTCTGAGTTTCCAAGAATTCTCTTACGTACTTTTAACCAGGGTTTTTCAAATGCCGAATTTAATTCAGTCGTTTACATGATCATGTTTATTAGCGTTTAATGGTATCATAAAGTTTCTCGGTACACCTCATTACCATTCTGTACATATATATATATATATATATATATATATATATGCTAATAAATTAGACGATCAGATTTCTCAACATTTTAGAGATTGTAAAACTGTAGAAATTATCTCGCATTTTTTCCGAAGTATTAGTTCCGAAAATTACATGAATTCATTATTTGTTCTAAGGCTTGTTCGCATCGATAAATTTATGGATGATGAAAATCTTGACACTTTATTGATTTCATTGTTTTTCTGACCAGGTGACGAGAAGTAGGAATTAGTACATAAATATATAAATCAACAAACACTTGCTTAATGATGACATAAACTATTTGCTCACTGAAAATAATATCTCATTGATGAATACTTAATTTTTCAGCCATTTAACTTATTGTGCATTAGCCGATGAGCACCAAGAGAAAAGTCAATGACAGCTTTAGCAATACTAGTGCTGTAGACCAAAATCAACTCAAACGATATGAAAAACACAACACTAATCTCATTGCAAACCAGTGTTGTAAATCCTGATTCATGGTACAAATCAAAATAAACAGCAATATCCAAAGTAACAAAACTCATCAGAATACCTGGAGATATCAATAAAATATGACTTCAAACACCACTGATTCATATTTTAATAGACATACTTAACTTTACACTAAAGCAAATAAGCAAAAAGTGCCTTAACGTACTAGTCTATTCGATCATATGAAACTTAGTACTTCCCGCTTAAGTTTGTTTGTGTTCTTAAATCACTTCTTTTCTACCATAACATTTACAGTCTCTCTACTTTGTCTCTGTGTGTGTGAAGGATGAGCTGGGGATTTTCAACAATATGATCATTTCACACAGAAATCTAACTACTCAATTAGTAAAACAAAAGAAGCTTAGGTGAACTACATTAAATGCATTATTGAGAAGAGTGCTTGAGTAACGTGTTCTCAACTGAAATCAAATAGACACTAAAACACCAGCTTTTAATTCTGAAGAACCGTTTACAGGATTTTTTCGTGAACATGTTTACCCCATTTGAAAAGTCTCATCTCAAAATCAAACAGTTCATGAACTTTTGATGAATTTAATTGCCTTATTTTATGTGAAGCATCAATGAACTGATTATGATGTATGGTATGACACTGACACTAATTGGTTATTTCTTTTTGATGTTTGCCAGCAATATTTGGCAATTCAACCACTCAAGTATATTGTCACTAAGCTTTCTGCTGGAAACTAATTGTCTAAGAAGACGGTCATCCGTTTCACTATCGAAATATTTTGAATTTATAAAGCATTCAGATAACTAGGCGAAAACACTAGTAGTGCTGATTGTTGATTACTTGTACTTCTGTATCAAAGTTCATCATCCGCAGTTTTACCACAAAATTTTGTAACCGAAAGTCTCATTGGCACCATAATGTAGTACCTAGAGAAAATATCCACTCTGGTAAAGTTTGAAAGCAAACCGCAAGCTGTACAAGTAAGTAGGAAGTTTGTTAGTTGATACATGTAACATCAGTTAGGATACATCATCTAACAGAATGAAAGCAGTTTTAGCAACTCAACTATCTCAGCCGAACCCATTAGTTTACACTGCCAGTGGCCTCAGTGCCAACAATCAGAAAGCCACATTCTGTTAAGAACTCTGAGATCACCTAATGCCTTGAAGGCGAATTCTCAGAACAAATAGTTACAGGTCGATTGGTTCTTTACACTCCTTCTATCTAAAAAGCAGTCAGTTAGCGATTCATGTAGAAAAAACTGCAGTTGGATTCCCGTTTCCTAACTTGGATAGGAGTGTTCCAGTGCACACCACCTGACCTTTAGATTGGTGTACATAATGTCGAGTAGTGAAAATCTCAAATAAAAATTACACAGAGTGCGTCAACGATGGGAATAAAAGCTTATTACGTGAGCTGTGGTCAAAATCCAACATGTTCTAAACTAGTCTGCCGAGAGCTTCCAAGATGATAACTCAAATTCCAAAGTCTGAAAAGTTGTCTCACACTCCAAGTTTATCAAACAAACAAATATAATTCAGCCTAAACTAAATTCAGCCACAGCAATGATCAGTTTAATGTAGGTTTTTTTATCAAACAGACAATCACTGTTGAGTTTTTGGAAATTGTAAGAATCGTCTCATTTACACCTATCCGATAATTCTGCTAAGTGAATAGCTAAGACTGATTCAAGTTAACTATGTACCTCTGAGTTACTGATTTGGATACTTCTCTTACAATAAGTAGGTTGTAAGTACGGACATTACTCTGTGAACCAGTTTTGTGACTACTGATAACAGTATTATCCCACACAGCCTCCTACATAAATTGAAATACACATCATTTCCTCAGATTTGCAAAACTCCAGTTGGTTTAGAAATAAGTAACTACGACAAGAAGAGTACGGAACGATAAAGATGACTTTGCCATAAAAATCTGAAAGAATAAAAAGGTTCCTAACACTCATAGAATACATAAGTATCATGCAAAAAGGAATAAGTGTCCTTTGGTCTCTAGTTTTCAAGCCGTTTTGACTTATGACAAAAACAATTTTTATGCTAATCAATTATTGCAATCCTCAAAATGAAAAAAAACATGTTGAGCATTTGTGCAACACAGTATAAAGTTCATAGATTATAACCTACTTGATCATCGAACGATTCATCCATTTTTTTGTTGATACGTTTCAGTTCTCAGTGTTTACTTCTTTGTTATTGAATAAACTTGTTGTGTATTGAATAAAATGAAATTGTCAGTATGAAAAACGAATACTCCACTTTATTTGAAGACGTTATATTGTAGGTAAATAAGGTATAAACAAACGAAAAAATGGTGATATAATACACAAAGTCCTTTTGTGTATTCAAGAAATGACTATGAAGTCAGTTATGTGTTCAGAAACAAATATTCGTTTCTGCCAAGAAATTCACCACTATACTTAAAAATTCTGAAGCTTTCGTAATATGAGTCCTCTTAAAAATTCTTAAGGTAATCCTTGTGCACAAATGAGCACTCATATGAGATATACACACTTACAAATACACAGACATGCACACAAATATAGTTAGAGACTAATATGCACACTAGCATATGATTCTTACACGTAGTACACAGAAGGACAGACAGACACAAACACACAACCTTTTCAAGGTTGGTGGCACCTAACTTAATCGACTCACAAACACTTTTGTGCGTGTTATAACCATTGTGAGGAATGCCTACAACCTATAAGCTGTTTAGACAAACAAAGCCGCAAGTGAATATGTCTGTATCGTTAAGATGTACTTATGTATGTATGCGTCATTTCAGTGCAATTGTAAGCTCATACACACACACAATGCTAAGATCATTATCATTAAAATTTCAGATCACAAAGCTATCCACCTAAAAAAATATCATTCCATCAATGTTTTGTACCTTAATATGTGTGCAGACATAATCAAAAGAATGTGCTTTCGTCCATAGTACATCATACCTACCGTTATGTGCATAATCAACATTTCACGATAACCTTGTCTACAAAGTATCAGGTCTGAGTTCCTCCTACTCTTTGGTTCATATTTTTGGCTACCTGATGACAATAATAAGAATGACTGATTGCAACTTATCAGGTGATCATTATATTGGCATTTCCATCTGTTTTCTGAAGTTCTCACTTTGAGCAAATTCGTCTTATATGAAACAAAGAATCTTTGAAGAAAAGCAAATTTTTCAAACCTTTTAGACTGAGTTACTGCCTTAAACAAGAGAGATTAAAGTATGTCTGTCTAAACAGTCTGCACTCGCATGCAGTACTCAAATGCTACTATTCAAAAATTTCATTTATAAGCAGCGTTACACGACTCATTCCGAGCAAATTATTTTAATAAAAAATCGCCTTAAAGGCGACTTCTCACTTAACCAAATGTTTACTGTGATGGTAACTTTGTCGTTGTCTAACATTTTGCTTCATCAAAACTACCTGTTTACCTAAGATGTAAAATATGATTGGGAAAGTCAAGCAACGCCTAAATGAATAATCTAAACATCATGGATCGATACTAGCTGCAGAACTACTGAAACTCCTAGGAGAATTCAACAGCTGTTTCTTCTCAGCATGAAACCCTTCAGGGGTATGCATCCAAAACTATATGACAGACTGAACTCAGGACACTAAGACCTCATAATAAGCACACTTGGCTAGAAACAGATGGCCCACTTTTTCCCACTCTTGTTAACTCAGGAAATAGCGCCGCCATCAATCAATATCGGTTGGCATCCGCTCCACTCCCAACTTGAGCGACTCAACAAATCATGGTTTCTCTTTCGGACTTCGAAAAATCCACTTTCCAAGTTTATGAGACTGTACTACTGAAAAGTTCCCAACTATTGTGAAACAGTTGTTCTATGGTTTCGAGTCCTCAGTAGTTTTCTAAATGATGTTATTCCGTGATGGAAACTACTTTCAAATCAATAAATCTCTACAAACTACTAAGTGAATCAAGGGGTCGTCAAATCATTAATACTTCCTGAAAGACTCACATCAAACTCAGCTACCAATTCCTGATCATTGTCAATAAGATTAAAAATCGCTGACATGAAAGAGTGATTGTATGGATTACATAACGACAGTATGTTCTCTAATAATGGTCTGGAAAATATTCTATCAGAATCGTTTAGCTTTACAGGGAAGCATGACAGGCGCTTAGCAGTTTTCATTCATGCTCACTGTTTTGTCTCAAACGACGTTTCTTTACAGCTTTAAATAAAAATATTGCCAATATTACAGCAAAACTCTACCTAAATAAACATAGATCGATAAGTGGTGTATGAGTTTTACATATTTCCAAGCATTCATATTGTAAACGGAGTTTGCTGGCAGCCTGTATAGTTGCACTTACACTAAAGATATTTATGTCCCCCCTGGTTACGATCACTATGAATCATCCATGTTTTAATGATGGCATTAAAGAATCCACTGTTCATGTACCTAACAGTACCATATCAGTAGTTAATATAGATTTCAACTCTTGTAATAGCAACTTTAGTAGATCTCTTACTAACAAGAATGAATTTGGATCCTTCCAAGAAAATTTTATTTGAGAATAACGTTAAATTATCAGAAACTGGTAAAGGAATTCTTATTGCTAAGTTTATACCAGTAGATTGCAAATGCTTTGCTTAAAATATGTAATAATTTATGCTTGAAATGTCATCAAGTAAATAATACTAGGTCATTGTGTGTTACCAATCAAATAAACAAATCTAATATGGACTTAAATTCTACCACAGTGTCCAAGTTGTACACCTGTATTAATAAAATATGCAACAACTTATACAGAAGCATTTATTGGGCATCAGCCAATGATCATGAATTAAGGCTTCTCATAAGATAGTTTAATGTAACCTAAATACAATTCCATTTCAGTCTGTTTATTAGAAATATCACACAGTGAAACAGTAGTATTTACCGGATACCGTTTCGGACACAATTTACTGTCCATATTCATGTCAGGTAACTCCATAACTTCAAGACAGTCTTTACATATTCCTAATTTTCCCTCCTTCTCTGTGATGACAAAGGTAGTAGGATTTTCCATATATCTGTTTCACTGTGTGATATTTCTAATAAACAGACTCAAATGGAATTACAATCAACCACAGTGCCCAAGTTTTACTCTCATATTAACCTAAACACAAATTGTGAAATTGTTACTTACACTAGTTTGTCAAAAAATGTTCGGATGAAACTATCGATAATAACAAATGCTACCTGGAATTCTGTTCACACTAAAAATGTATTTCGAAGATCTTATTGATTATCTACTGCTCTTCTCAACCGACGAACAACAAAGATAGGCATGTTAGATAAGATAAGTATTAAACCAAGCATCTGAAGACTCAAAAATTTGATAAGGTCTTATTTCAATAAATTTTCGTAAACTCCAATCACTTAACAACTCTCCTAAGACAATGAAAATGTCTAAAGCAGCTTAACAATGCAAAACAACTAAGTAATACAGACTGTTGTTATATCTGTTCCCTAGTCCATTACTTTGTTTACGCTTCAGGGGAAACAAGAACGACGGATTTCTTCATGCCTCATGTCTTTTCATGAAGTATAAGCAGGTTGAAGAATTTTTGTTTCTAGTGGCGAACCACTTTAACTAGTAAAGTTAAAAAGAAAAGATACTAGTAACTTAAATGACAGGTTGGCCAATAAAATAGAATAGGCAAAAATCCAATATGTTGCTGAAATTTAAAGCTTGCTCAAATATAATGGAATTCAAAGTTATGAAAAGTCTGTGATATGAGATTAGGAATGGTAAAAAATTAAAAATTAAAACTAGAAGTGAAGCTATGATTGAACTTTTATTAAATAAACTGCATAAAAATTGTTACTTCATGTAGAAAATACTGTGGATTTTAAGTCCTTGAAAGTTCCAGCATCTTCAGATTATATATTTATTGAATAATTTTAGCCATATATGGAAGAACTATATTTAATACCGGTGATATCGTTAATACCAGGAAAGTATATCCATAGTCTTCAACATACCTTCACCAAACTTAAGATTTCATGGAACCGGTTATATTAATATTACAGCAATCCACGATGAAGTGTTTCGTTAATATCTCAATTACCCGCTATATGGATTCATTTGGATCTCATTTTATCATGTATTATTTGACTCACAATACAACACTTTCTACCATTCTCTATTTTAAACATTTCCTCAACTAAAAGAGTGATGAGGTGTATTTAGCTTCTATCTGTTTTTACGCACTTGTATGCTTCATTTCTTTTTTTAAAATAAAAGATTTTGATCACCTTTACCTTCAGCAGTACTGTAAATAAAAACTAACAAGAAGAAGAAATAATTAACAGATATACAACAGCATTATATCTTATTGTGCAAAATGTTATGAAGGTTAAGTACAGAAGATGTGTTCCATTAATGTTAATTTCCTCACCGAAGTTAAAGCAGTTCTATAGAACAATTGTTCAAGGTTCAATTGGTAAGTGAGTGAAACTAGAGAAACAGATTTATTTGAAGTCATCTTCTAAATGCATCATCTAACATTATAATCCAGAGCGTGAACTTTTTTCTGAAAGCAATAGTTTCAGCTTACTAAATACTACATATATGAAGGAAGTGAGTAGATTTGATTTTTAGTATTTAGACAAAACATAGTGTTTAACAACTTAAAAGTACACCAAAGAGGATGAAAATAATGATATTCACAAATAAAATGAAAGAAGTCATAAGATTATCAGCAACGTAAAATAAGCGTTTAGCCGGACTACGCATAAACACAGAGATCAATCTTGAATTGATGTATTGCCGTAACCTCTGTAATCATACGGCGAGTTCGTACTCCTAATTTAGTGCAAAAAAGTTGAATAAATTCGTTTACAACCATACATATTCATTTTTTTCGCCAATTAGAACTGAAATTTTTATTTCATATAGAACGTAGTGATAAGGTTTTATAAAATGAATGACTTTTCGAGTACATTTAATCGCCTATAACTCCGTCAAAACAGTCAAATAATTTTCAACATTTTGTTTCAATAATTCTATGTCTTTTATTGCTTATTTTAAATAATAGCATAATTTTCAATGCTTCCAATGAACTGTGACCCAACTACATTTAACCACAGTGGTTAATATCTACTTTAAACAGA